TAGATCTTAGTTCCCAAACAGACCACACTATGGAAGGTTTGAAAGGTTTCTGCATTGGTAGCAAAATGTTTCTCAGCCAGTAGGCCACAAAGGTTCCTCAGGGGCCAGAGAGATACTCTGCACTCAGGATAATTTCTAAACATCCATTTAATCTTTGCAGAAGAACTTACTTTAACCTAGAGAAAAATACATAGGATAATTTAGACTGACAGGTATGGGAAATCTAATAATAGGACTTTTAAACAGAATATTGCCACAGAAATTTGGGTGAATAAAAATAGCACAATCTTTTCTTAGCACTTTCAGCAGTACAGAGACCATTAAAGCAGAATAAAAGCACTGTTATGCCCTATTAACAGGTACTGTGGTGGGAAAAGCTTTCCACTGAGAAGCTTCATGATTTCCGCTGAGAAGCTACTGTTGTCCTAGCTCCTCATACAAATTGTACTTCAATTCTGCAAACCTATAATAGAATTTTAATCCGTGGCTTATTAAGGGGTTTCTTTGATCTTTTATTTATTTGCCAAAATAGAGCTTGTTATTTTAAAACGAAGTATGATTGACTCTTTAAAAGCATATAGGTAGATAGAATTCAACGATTGTTCTTCATGCTGCTCAAGTAAATCTGCTGGCAGAGCTGGAAGGACCATACTCTCTGGCCTGTGTTGTGTGTACTTTGCAGGTTTTGTTTTTTTGAAGAAGGCAATTGAAGAAATGTCTTTCCGGAAAAATCTTTGGTCAAATTGTCTTTAAATTAGCCATTTTGTGTGACTGATATGAAGCACCTTAGCTTAAGCAGCTTGAAATGAGCAGCAGTGCCCTGACAAGCAAACCTTTCCATGTAGCTAAAAGCCAGCAGACACTGGCTTTTAAAAATCTTTTCCAGTAGTCTAATTTGCAGAGACTTTAGATTATTCCTAATAAAGTCATCAGTATAAATACAGCTTCTCTTAACTTCTGCAGGTTTGATACAACACTCCCTTTTTAGTGGAGACCCTGTTTTAGAAGAGAAAAAGTGCATGGTTAATTCCTACAGTTGTGAAGCATATATATGTAGCCTACAGCACTTCCATTAAAGCCTCAAAATGCAGTTTTCTCTTGATAATCACAGAGGAAACTTGTATGTGGACTCAGTGGGGTCAGATAAAGGCAGGAACCCAGAGAGTGTGCTTCAAAGAGGAAATCTGCCCTCTTTGGTGTGCTTTTCCTTCATTTCCCTGTGGGAGGTCCATAGGGACACAGCAGAAAGACCCAGGCAGCTGTGGATGACAACTCATAGGAGCAACTACTCCAGGGTGAAGCACTTCTTCAGTCTGGGTCTTTGTTGATGTCTCGAAATCTGTAGTGGAGCCAACAGAGCTTTTCCAAACAGCTGTGGAAATGTTGCTCTGTACAAGAAAAGAGCAGGTCATCCCAAGGGAGGAGGGTTATCTGTGCCTTCCCAGGCTGGATGTTGCTTTGTGTTTCCATTTGGAAGGCAGTTTTCATCAAGGAGGTGCCAGTTCCATGGGTTTTTTTCAGTTTATTTTTCAGGTATAATAAATCATCACTTGGAAAATGTATCTGAAAGTTCACCATAGCTATCATGACATTGTACAAAGCAAAAAGCAGGGCTATATCCAAGCCCTGAGGAACCCTGGTTACTGGCACAAGGAGGGAAAGACTGTTTACAAGGATTGTGGTAAGGGAACAGCCCCCTTTGGGAGGACATCCAGAGCACCTACAAGTTCTGATTCACCATATGGCTGTGCTGATCTAACAGTTCTCCACTGCTGGTGCTCTGGCATCGGCCTTTTCCCACGTACCTGGCATCAGTACTGCTGTGCCTCTGATCCCATGCAACATGGCACCGATGGGTGCAGTCCCACGGCAGGCACAGCTAGGTAATGGTAGTTTGTCAATACCTCCAAGCTTGATAAAGGGTGAAGGAGGCTTAGGGGTCATCCAGAAGGTCTAGTTGGGAGGGAAGACGAGGGGAAGAACCAGAGGCAGCTCTGCATGCCAGGCTACAGCACCTTGTGAAGGCTGAAAAAGCTCTTTTGCTTCTTTTTCCTCGTATGTGTCTTCAGTTGTTTCTTCTTAAGCATATTCCTTTTCTTTTTTTAACTTTCCAGTCCACTCTGCTGTGTTTCCATGCGCAATAATCTATTTTTTCTCTTGAGTTTGGGGGGAAAAATTATTTCTGATTAATAGGCCAGTAAAGCAATGCAAAGTGGAAAAACACAGGAACTTTTGTTTTACTGATGTGAGAAGGTTCCTAGAAACAGCTTTGTCCAGTTGTACTGCATGAACTCATCGATTCTGAGTAAACATGAGATGGCAACAAGGTATGTGACAGACTTCCCATCCTGCCAATTGTACCACCAGCTTGGAAATGTCAGGACCTTAGGAAACAATTTGAAATATCGTCTCTTGAATAGCACTTTGTAAATTACACTGATATTTTAAAACAAACCTGCTCTTGTCTTTTTTTTGTCTGTAGTGTTGATTCCTACTATCAGCAATGCTATGCCTGCCAAGGAGAGAGTAGTCAAGGTGAAACTGTATTTCTTGTTTGTGCTGGAAAAACCGAAGACTTCAAACACCTGAAACACACAAAAGGTGACGGGCACCATGGTGTGCTGTGACTGTTAGAAAATGAAAAGCTTCTTATAATTTATAAGTAGAATTTACCTTCTTTTGAACTGTGGAAAAGCTCTTTCAAACAATTATTAACTATGGTTTTAAAAGCAGCTGTTTGCTCCAGGAGGCAACATATGGAGGAGCAGCCAGCTGGTGGGATGAGGAGGCAAGGAGTCTGGAGGACTTGGTGGTCTCCCTCTCCCTCTGCCCCTGAGCTCTGCAGTATGTTCTTCTGCTGTCCTGAGCACTCTCCTGATCAGATTTGTCAAATACAATACATATTTTATTGTAAACTTATACTTCATTCTGGTTTTATTGTTCAGTGCTACATTCTCCCAATGTGTAGAAAACCAAAAAGTATGCGGTCTTTGCCATTGAGAAATTACACTTCATGGATAAGATACTCTTGACGAAGTGAGAGAAGAAACAAAAGAGGAGAGTTATGTATCAAGATAGTTTTGCTTTTTGGATCATTTGACTTCATTTATGGTTTTGGCCAATTTTTAATGGATGGCAATAATCTTTAGTTCTTACAGTGCAGGCATCTGTCCTCAGCTAGGATAATCCCAGGCTCAAGTAATTTTATTTCTTATTGAAACATTAAGGAAAGCTGCAATTATTTCTTTTCTAATGTTTTTCACATTTTTATTACAGGGGAATAAATCCATATATCCAAGGAGACATTCTCATTCGGAATGTCCACTGGAGGAAAATGTGTACCTGTAGGGGCTTGTGCCAGCTGCCCATCATCTAGCACCCTGGGGCCATGCTCTGAAGCGGGCTGATGCCTCTACGCATGCTCTCTTCTCTCACTGCTGGCTGGTGTCTCTGAAGTGCTAGCAATTCCTGCCCTTTGTGTGTGTTATGGATATGCCTTGGGCTTAAGAAATGACAACCCTAGGACCTGTGATGACTTGAAAACTCACACACCAATGCTATCTACCCTCCAGCCAGCATGGGACAAGTGATGCATTATAAATCCAGATCCTCTACCAGTGGAGAGATTAAAGCAAGTAAGAAGTTTCTTAATCCCTGCCTCAAGCGATTTAAAACCTCCCTCTTGCTTGGGGTCCTACATAAATCAAAACACAGGACTGGCTATATTCTGCAAATAAATCTTCCTTGATATTTACTTCTCACATAACTTCTCTGTAACAAAATCTGAATCCCCTACCAAATATGCTAATAAAATGTCAACTCTTCTATAATTTAGTAGCATCACAATGATAATACCTTCTTCAGTTATATGTTACTCTTTCAGAGAGCACTTGACATAGTGCTTATGCAGAAAAAGTAAAATTATTGTCTTAATACATTATTTAGTCTTTTACTTCTTAATATTGAAATACACTAAATATAAACCATCTGTACAATAACTAATCATGAATGAATACAAAACAAATGCAGATTAAATTAGCCTGAAAAAAGTCTCCCACAAGTAAGTTCTGTATGCACTTGAGGAAAATTACTTCAGAAAATAAAAGTCTATGAATTATTCCTGCTGGAGTGAACAATCATAGTAATGGCAGAGGACACTTCATACTAAGCATTGCAATAGGATTAAAGAACATGTGTATTTATTTTTTCCTAAAAGAATAGGAGCTACCAAAAGAAAAGTGATGATTAATCTATAAAACATATTTTGCACATACGGAAAACCTTCTGTTTGAGGGTGTGATGGTACTTTGCAGGCAATCATGAATTAAGCCTTACAAGCTGTCACAGGAGAACTGGTAACAAATATATCACAACTAAGAATGTGTACCCAACACAACCTGCCATTCTGAAGACTGGAATCAAAATGCCACAGGTTTCAACAAAGGCACCAAAACCCAGTGGCCAGTTCTGTTCATGAGCTGGTGAATGCCATTTTAAAGTTGCTCCACCATGTTTCCCATGACCACACTGTACTCCGCACACCACCCTTCCACATGCTTGCTGCTGGAGGCAGTTACAGGCAAAGCTTATGCTGAAGTATGGCGACTGTGACTCAAGTTACCTTAAGCTGAAAAAAACCTAGTGCTCCTGGTGGGGATCCAGAGCTTGAGCTAATCTGAAGCTGGCTCCATACATCCACACAGGTGTGATTGCATCTTTTAGGTGTGATCCTCATCTGATTGCGCTGGTGTGGATGGCACAAAACCCCAAATCAGCACTTCCACACCATTTGCACCCCTGCTGGGAGGACTTGTCCATTCTAGCTAATGTTCAGATAAGTCAGTGCCACAACTTTGATGTTTGATTGCAAACTGGACCAGCAGTTGATTAATTAAACAATCAAAGAGTTGTTGCCAGCACTTTAAGAATCCCAGCCTTTTCAGTTGCATGAACTTTTCTGCTGCGAACTTAACCTGTCACAATTTTCTTTCACTGCACATATTTGCTGATGCCAGAAGCTCCATCAGAAAGACTTCACAAATCAAGCCTTTGGCAGGTTGCAGGCTGGGTCTCATTCTCACCTCCACCTTGGTGCCTCGGGGGACGTGCCGTCTTCTCTAGCTGAAGCACACAGGTATGCCTTTGCTTGCTTTCCTCAGTTAGTTGTGCTCATTTCCAGCTAAAACACTTGGATGTCTGAAACCCAGGTAAGACCTCTTCAGTATTTAATTTTTCTACTAAGCATGAAACTAACGTATGTTGGGGTTTGGCCAGTCCTTGTTTCTCTGTTAAAGGGAGTCATGTTTGAAGAGTATCATTGGTATTGAACATCACAATGTTAGCATACGGACTGGGATGTGTACCTACCAGGCTTATTTTTACTGTGGATATCTATACTCACTGCGGTGCTATCGCAGTGGTTGCAGCTTAAGTCATCTCTGAGTCTGTCCATTATTATGACAGAGTATAAAATTTAAAGTACAATGCAACAGAAAATTGTTTGCTCGGTTTTGCTTACACACTGGTTCCACCACCATCTCTCTCTGTAGCTGGGAGCCAGGCTCAGCTGCTTCATGCTCCCTGACATTGTCTCCCTGTCACCCCCCAGGGTCTCTGTGGTCGTGGCAGGTGAGAGGAGCTGAAGCAGCATGAAAGGCTGGTGACCCTTGGTAGCTTTCCCTACCTGTGGTTGCTGAAATAGCCATCTAGGTATGGCAGTTGTGTCATGGGTTGTGTAAAGCTGCGTGAATCAAACTTACATGCAGCCTACTGGAATACTTTCAATGCCTTTACTTATGTTGCCCATACTCAGGGTGGGGGGTGTTCCATCTTGGCACATTTAGCACAGCAATGGCTGTATGAAGGTGAGGAGCAACAATGGAGCCAGAAAGCGGCACTTCGGGCATGCTCATACAGGGATGCCCCAGCAACTCAAGCTGCATCAGGGTGTGCTGGCCTCACAGGTGCCTACGGATGGAGAAAGAGTTGGAAGGTGCAAAGATGGGGAGCAGGCTGTTGTTTCAGAGCTCTGCTTGGTGGCAGGATGCTGGATTGTCTTTTATATCCATGTCTGCTTTCTGTTTTTCCAGCAGAGATTTTGTGATGGCAAGTCTTGCTTTCCTCCTGGTAAGCAGAAAGAGAATGGGTGTAAAGTAAATGCCACAGTAAAACCTCCATTGCGTTCATGCTCTGTTTCCCCCGTATGAGTTTTTTGCATTGATACAACATTTTTTCTTCGCTATAAGATGTGGTTGTAATCTTGTTTCTCCCAAAAATCATAACACCTGACATCAGGCATTTCTCAGTGGCATCTTCATTAGGACTGCAGTCTTTGTTTTAAGTTAATGAAAAGAAATAACCTCTAGAGAAGGAGTTAGACTTCTCCAAACAGCCCTGCTGAATCTAGTTAAGATTAAATAGCTGGTATTTGAATAGTATAACATTTTTTGCTGATAGCATTATGTTTTTATTTTACACTAAGTGTGACTGTGTTTTCAGTCTTCTCCGACAGCCTTTGTGACATGTCCCTCTGCTTTCATCCTGGTTTCAGTGTGGAAATTTCTGTGATGAGAAATTTTTGCTACAATGAAATCAAAGCCAGGGCTTCATTTTGGTTTTTGTATTTTTTATTATGACTGTCACTTTACTAAAGGCTAGCTCTGGGTAAGCCTACACACAAGGGTGTGTAGACTTACCTTGGTGAGGCAGAGCACCAAGTGACCCACCAGTTCTTCTCTTGCAGCAGTACCAGTTTGAGTTTCATGGGAGGCATGAAGCTGGGGCTGGCCATCCTGTTGTACCTCAGTAAGTACAGATATTACAGTTATTCAGGCTGGTGTTGGAATATTATTATGTGATTTACACATCTCTGCAAGACTTTATTAAAGTGCTTTTTTAAAGTACATTAAGACACATGCGACAGTGGGTACTTATTTTCCACTATTCTGCCTAGGAGCTATGAGTGGTACGAATCCTGTACGTACAAAGGAAAGATACATGTTGTAACTGAGTCTGAATCAGGCCCTGAAAGGGGCAATCAATATCTGCTAACAAATAATGAGCACAGATCTGCATAAATAAAGAAGAGCTGGCTAACCAAACTTACGTGTTGTTTTATACCTGAGACTCAAGTGTCACTCATCATCTGAAGTATAGCCTAAGCCATAAACTGAAATCTGGCTGTAAAACACTGCTTTTTTACTGCTGTAATTGCATGACTGTTTCTAGTGTTCTGTGGGATCTTCATGTATCAATTGTTAGAGGTTTCTTTAACTACACTTTTCATAACAAGTTCAGCCAGGTAAAACTGAAAAGGCAAAGCCTCCAAGGTGCCCATTCCTGTTCAGGGTTTCAAGACAGAACTTGTTTAAAAAAACAAGCCCTGTAAGGGAAGTCTTAACTTAATGGGGAAAATATTTAAAGTTGTTTCAGGCAAAATACACAAAAAAGATTCTGCAATTATTTAAAGAATTCAGAATTACTGTGAGAAATGAAGACCTTGCGCCCACTGTAGGAGAGGATCTGGTTCGAGACCCTCTTAAGAACCTGGACGTACACAAGTCCATGGGACCTGATGAAATCCATCTGCGGGTCCTGAAGGAGCTGGCAAATGAAGTTGCTAAGCCACTGGCCATCATATTTAAAAAAATCATGGCAGTAAGGTGAAGTTCCCGACGACTGGAAAAAGGGAAATATAGCCCCCATTTTCAAGAAAGGGAAAATGGATGACCTGGGGAATTACAGACCAGTCAGTCTCACCTTTGTGCCTGGCAAAATCTTGGAGCAGATTCTCCTGGCAGGCATGCTAAGGCACATGAAAATCAACAAGGTGCTTGGTGACAGCCAGCACGGCTTCACTAAGGGGAAATCCTGCCTGACCAATTTGGTGGCCTTCTATGATGGGGCTACAGAACTGATGGACAGGGGTAGAGCAGTTGATGTCATCTACCTGGACTTGTGCAAAGCGTTCGACACTGTCCCGCATGACATCCTTGTCTCTAAATTGGAGTGACATCAATTTGATGGATGGACCACTCGGTGGATAAAGAACTGGCTGGATGGCCTCACGCAAAGAGTTGTGGTCAATGGCTCAATGTCCAGTTGGAGACCAGTAACGAGTGGTGTCCCTCAGTGATCAGTGTTGGGACCAGTCTTGTTCAACATCTTTGTCGGTGACATGGACAGTGGGATTGAGTGCACCCTCAGCAAGTTTGCCGATGACACCAAGCTGTGTGGTTCGGTTGATACGCTGGAGGGAAGGAATGCCATCCAGAGGGACCTGGACATGCTTGTGAGGTGGGCTGATGCCAGCCTTATGAAGTTTAACCATGCCAAGTGCAAGGTCCTACACCTGGGTCTTAGCAATCCCAGGCACAGCTACAATTTGGGCGGAGAAGAGATTCAGAGCAGCCCTGCAGAGAAGGAATTGGGGGTGTTGGTGGATGAGAAAATGAACATGAGCCGGCTTCAGGTGTGCGCTTGCAGCCCAGAAAGCCAACTGTATCCTGGGCTGCATCAAAAGGAGCATGACCAGCAGGTTGAAGGAGGTGATCCTGCCCCTCTACTCTGCTCTTGTGAGACCTCGCTTGGAGTATTGTGTGCAGTTCTGTTGTCCTCAACATAAAAAGGACATGGAACTGTTGGAACAAGTCCAGAGGATCAGCCTCCCCCTGAGGATAATCAGGGGACTGGAGCACCTCCCATATGAAGATGATAGGCTGAGAAAGTTGGGGCTGTTCAACCTGGAGAGATGAGACTGCGTGGAGACCTCATAGCAGCCTTCCAGTATCTGAAGGGGGCCTATAGGGATGCTGGGGATGGACTCTTCATTAGGGACTGTAGTGATAGGACAAGGGGTAATGGGTTAAAACTTAAACAGGGGAAGTTTAGATTGGATATAAGGAGGAAATTCTTTCCTGTGAGGGTGGTGAGGCACTGGAATAGGTTGCCCAGGGAAGTTGAGAATGCTCCATCCCTGGCAGTGTTCAATGCCAGGTTGGACAGAGCCTTGGGTGACATGGTTTAGTGTGAGATGTCCCTGCTCATGGCAGGGGGGTTTGGAACTAGATGATCTTAAGGTACTTTCCAACCCTAACTATTTTATGATTCTATGAATTATTCTGTCTAATCATTAATTAATATGTAAGTATTTAATTATTAATTAATATGTAACTATTAGTTATTCATAAAATAATTATTAATAAATTATTTAAAATTAAACCAAAGATTATTAATTAATGTGTAATTCCATGGGGTCTGAACAGAGGGTTTTGGGACCAGACATGGGGGTTCATTGTAAATCATCAGAAAATCTGAGGGACCCCTGACATCAATCCATCAATCCATCAATTCCAGTCTCAGTTCCACCATTAGCACTTGGAAATCAACAGAAATCAATAGAATTAACCCAAATCTGTCTTTGCTCACAGAGTCAATCGAAATTCTGGTGATTCTGCTGCAGGAGTGCTGGCTATGGGTATGCCAGGGTAGGAAGCATAATAAATTATTGCAGATAGCAGATTGGCATGTTTACTGTGCAATAATGTGCTGAGAGTTTCAGTTTTAGCATAGATTTGTAATATGCTAGCTGTATTTCTTATAATGATTTTTCAGCAAGTGTGTTCATTATCAAAGCTCTTTGAGATTCTACCAAATTATATCATTAAGGGTAAAAGGAGTACAGCAAAGAATAATTTAGTTTTCTGCTGATGTTGGGATTTAACTGATTTTGTCTGGAGAATCCTGCTGGGTACACAAAGCCATTTAATCACTCTTTGATCCTCTTTTGCTGTCAGTGCTGATAAGACTCCAGCATGCTCAGGATGACTGTGATGCTGGATCCTGCCACCCAGCTGTTGGGGACCTTCTCCTGGGTCGCAGCAAGCAATTAACAGCTTCCTCAACCTGTGGCATGAACAGCCCTCAGAAGTACTGCATTATAGGCTACCTAGAGGTTGGTTATCTCTTGTAATAAACTGAACTCTGCTCACTAACAATAATATTCTCATCTGTAAAGGGAATTTGCTGAGACTAAGAAGTTTCTGTTGAAGATGTCTGAATAATCATTAGACAGTGTGACATAAATCTGGTGGAAGCTCTGCCTTACTGCAGCACATATGGAGGCTTTGGCAGCAAAGAGCCTCCACAGTGATGTATATCTTCTCAAGAGGAAGAAGCATCCATGAGATGCAAATGAGCACAGGGATTTCTGAAGGAGCTTTGCTCTGCAAGTCCTGTTCCCACTCATACCTCAGAGGTGAAGACCACAGTTTGCATCTGTGTGAGTGCAGGAGGACTGTGATCCTGTGGGCTGTGGACACTGCCTTGATGGACTTTCACTGGTGTACATGTCCCATGCAGTACTGAGACCTCAGGCATCCTGTTAAGAGATTCACATCACGTCCTCTCATATCTTTTGATCTGAAATAAGACCAGTGTTGATAAAAGCAGAAAACCATGTCCGGCAGAGGGAAAACCTAACGATATAGTCCAGTCTTTGGTGGGTAGACAGAGCCAAACCATGGATGATCAGAAGGATCCCTCTTGCTCCCTGGCTACAGTGATGGGGACGTGGGGGAGCAGCAGATGTGTGGGAGATGCACCAGGCAGAAATGAGACACATCTTGGAGGACTTGGCCAGGCTGAGCTAATAAATGATCACAAATAAAATTATTTTCACTAAATACCAGCTTAGACTTAAGAGGAGGTTAATAAAATACAGTTTAATTTATAAGCAATTGAAATAATTACAGTTTATGACCTTCTGGCAAAATGGTGTGACACATCTGCAGAGTAAAGCTGTGCCATACTGAGATGGCACCAAGCACTGCTCCAAGTCACATATTGTAGCCATGGCTTTCTGCAAAATGTGAATGTTTCTTTCCTCTTCTGAAATAGCCTGAGTTTTGGCACTGCTTGGGAGATGGGCATAAACAGCCATCTCAGAGACATTGTCTTCCTAGCCCTAAGCCAGATGATTGCCTTTTATTTTTGCTTTTTAACAGGAGATCAAAGGGCAATAAAAAATAAAGTATTTTCACTTGCCTGTACTTATCCTTTGAACTGTGTAACTACAGATTCATGAAAAGGAACAGCTGTTCCACAATAATCCCTGTGATTTAATGCTGCTTCAATGTATCTTGACCCCTGGTGACAGTCTCCTGAAGAGTCTGAGAGCTACAAATTCTGCTGCTTTGCAGAGCTCAAGAGATAGAGGCTTATGCTCTGACAACACGTTCTGCTCTATCAGCTCACCTTAAATGTGTGCGTCCACTTCAGTACACCAGAGTCCCACTGAACCTAATTCTCCTTCTCACTAGCACATTTCAAAGGCTTTGCTGGAGGCAGACCAGGAAACTTTGCATCTTGCAAAGCAAAGTTCTTCCTCCCCCAGTTCCCCTCCTGGTGACCTGTGTCTGGCATCGTGAAGAGAGCAAACCTTTCTTGTGAAAGTCCGTGTTTGTCAACATGTCAAGAGCCAGGGCTCAGCTGGGATGTCTTATTGGAAATTAGACAAAAAAAATTAAGAGTTCAACTGCTTTGTCTTTGAAAAGCAGCACTGCAAATCATTTTCAGTCTTTAATGTGTCTTACTGTTTCTAAATGTATGTTAAGTGGGTTTTAGCTCTATGATTGGATTTACTACTTATACATGCTTTTGAAAGGAAAACAAGAACACTCAGTATTGAGGAGAGTATAAAGCTGCATACTTCAGAGGCAAATGGAATCTGACAGATTTGCCTTATGTGAACATGTATGAGTTTGTCCTTTGGGGCACAGAAAGATGCTTATGTAGCAACGTTAACCACAAGTTGACTTAGTATCATATTGTATGCCTCTATGTAAACCAGAGAGTGGATGTGTGCAGTCCTGCCAAACACTTAGATCACCTGAGCTCACCTTACCAGAGCTTTGTGAAATGAAATGACATGAGAGTATCTTTTATATTTCTGTCTCGTCTTCTAGATCATACATTTGTACACTTGTCATGTGTGGCATAGAATGACCGACTATCTTCTGTATTTATTATAATGTTTAAAACACATGACTTATACATGTAAATCTGTATCTCTTCATTTATTTAAATGTGTATAGTTCCCAGGTGATTTCACAATATAAAGACATGCAAATCATTCCTAATGCTTCTCTGTAGATACTGAGCATCTGCAGAGGGCAGGACAGGGTGCCGCTCCATCAATCCCATTCTGGGTTGTTTCCAGCTCAGCTTCTGCCACTGACTTCTACATTCTGATTTCAGCAGCATCCCTATCAGCCTTTCAGCTTTGGCTTATGCCTGAGCTCTCAGGCTCTGCCCAAATCTTGTAGAGTACATCTATGCAGTGCAGCCACCATCGCTCACCCTGCCATATGCTGCCCTATGGCCCTGCCAGCTGTGATCATATGCTGCATGGGTCATCTCCCAGTCCAATATGTTTACCTTGTCACCTCTCCTTACATCTCCCACTGAATCCCCATCTTAGCACCTCTGGAGTTCCTTGCCCTCACTTTCAAAGCTCTTTTGCAGGCGGAAGCCTCTCATTCAGCATTGAGATACTGGCTAATCACTGTCACCTTCATCTTCTGCTTGTTACATTTTCAAACAAGAGTCTTTCATCCTATTGACATCATGGTTTTCTTCCTTTGCATTGCTTTTAAAATTTTTCAGTTTCCCTGTGCCTACAAAAGTCACTGACAGCAATTGGGGTGGTGGTGTCAGCCCAGACCACCATTTATATACAACCTGGATCCATCCTTTCCTTCCATTTATATAATGGCATCTGCCTCCTGCCTCTGGCTGGGTCTCCAAGCTGCTAAAAAATAAGCAAAAGGGAAAGAAGAAAAATGTATAAATGATTTAGTGAATGTTCCTCTTCAAGGCTTCTTCAGATCTTGAAAGATCCAGTTCTCCCTTGTATCCCCTCTGCCTCTTTGCTGCTGTCTGGCTGAAAGTTTCTACAGCCTTTTTGACACATGAATAAAAGATCAACTTTTAAGAAATAAATTTCTCCTGAGAAACTCTTGCAAAACAAGCCCTCTGGAAGAATCAACACCTTGACAAGCTTATTTCTTTGCTCTTCCTGAGATCCCTTCTCCACTGAAAAAGTGTACTTTTAATAGAGTACCTGGGGCAAACTGAGGCTGACATTTATTATATGCATGCTTTGTGCATATGGTTATTTTCTTGGGCTTGTCCCTTGTATATGAAAGTCTGAGTGACTGAAAGCACAGACATCCAAAGCAACATGCAATGGCATAAATACATGTAGATCCACCTGATCTTTAGAGACCAAGTCCATCTTTCTTCTCATTTTGTTTTTTAGGCTGAACACAAATGCTTTCTCTGCGATTCCAGGTACCCATATAATCCCTACACTCAGCACAATAGTCACATGGTTGAAAATGTTATCACAACTTTTGAGCATGATAGAAAGAAGAAGTGGTGGCAGTCAGAAAATGGTAAGTTTCTTTGAGAATATATTACTGCATAATGTTACTGTGAGAGTCATTTATGTGATTGGCATTCACCATGTTGCCTTCATGAAGAAATGAAACAAAATTCCATCTATTCTTTGATAGGGTAATACTGAGTGATTTAAACCTGTTTGTGTGTAGCAATACAGGAGTTTAGAAATTCTGGTTTTCCACAGACAAATTTTAAGCACAACATCTCCAAGAGCTGGGCAGAGGACCTGTGACAGTGCTGTGTTATACACGGTGGCCGCGTATGACAGGGTGTCTGCCTTTCAGGGAAATGTGATTTGGAGCAAAAGGTACATTTTCAGATGGGTAATGACAGAGTGTGTAAAATACAAATTTCCATTAAAAAAGGTAGTCCTTGCCATGTAAAGACATAACAGTTTAGGGAATAAATAAAGCCTTACTATGATCACCCTTATTGCCTCATGTTAATTTTGTCACAAGCTTCTCTGTAATAGTTCTTCGCTGGTATCATAGAATAATAGAATAGTTTTAGTTAGAAGGGACTCTAAAGGTCTAGTCCAACCCCTGTGCAATGAGCAGGGACACCTTCAACTGGATCAGGTTGCTCAGAGCCCAGTCCAAGCTGACCTTGAATGTTTCCAGGGGTGGGGCATTTATAACGTCTCTGGGCAACCTGTTTCAGTGCCTCACCACCCTCATCGTAAAATTTCTTCCATATATCCTGTCTGAATCTCTCCTCCTTCAGTTTAAAACTGTTACCCCTTGTCCTATTGCAACAGGCCCTACTAAAAAGTTTGTCCCCATCTTTCTTATAACTCCTTTTTAAGTACAGTACCTGTCCTTCAGGTGTGTCAACCACACCATACAGTTTTGTGTCATCTGCAAATTTGCTGAGGGTGTACTCAGTCTCACTCGATAAAGGTTGAACTTGATGATCTCAGAGGTTTTTTCCAAGCTAGTTGATTCTATGATTCTATGCCACTGATGAAGATATTACCCTTAGAGCTTCTCTGTCAAGGCATGCTAGGAGGAATAGCATTTGTCTTATCTGACATACAGTGAGCATGTAAAAAAATGACTGGTTTTTATGAAGGCATAGAAAAAAATAAGATATGTTACTTCTATTTTGGGTATCCAACTAAGAATACAAAAGCCTTATTTTTTCATGGAGTGTATCAAGGAAATGTTGCCAGCTTCGGGTACCACTGCCAATAAAGCTGTGGGCCAGCTGTGAGAGGATCTTTTCTTGTTCTCACCACCTTTATTCTGGGATGAGGTCTCATGCAGTGAGCTGAATGTGTGCTGAGCAGTAAGCCTAGGAAGCTGCATGGAGATGTAAATGATGGGGATATCAGCTGAGCTCCCTCAACTCTCTACAGAGAATGTGTGAATTGTGGGGATTTTTTCTATACTTGCTACAATTGTGGACAATGCCTGGTGTGATAGCTCTGCTCATGACAGATTTCAGGCCTGGCTGTATAGAAGGGTTTAACAGATCTGCTGAGCATGAAGAAAACCCCATATTTTTATTGACTTTCATTTTATTCTTAAAAATAAGCAATTTGTCTGGAGTTTAAAAAATTCTAACTGGATAGAGGAAGTCATAAACATAGAACCTTGCCATCAGCATTACTTACAGTCCAAATGATCTGAACAAGACCTTTAACCATCTCCTGCATTCTCAGTGATGTGCAGCATCACCAGTGCCACTGCTGGAAAGGCTACACACTGCATTGACCTGAGAGAGCAGTCCAGTCACATGCTGGGTTTGTGCACAGGGGATGCCCTAAAGAGTCAAGCTGCTGTGCTGGAAAAGGTGTCTCTAAATTCCCAAGGGGAAAGCTGTCTCATCAACCCCTCCAAAGTGTGCACTGTGCTCTTCATTTTCATTCTCTTTTCAGGTGTTGACCATGTCAGCATTAGATTGGACCTAGAAACCTTATTCCAGTTCAGCCATCTTATCCTGACTTTTAAGGTACATCTTTTACCAGAGCTTTTATGTAATGTTATACACTAATTATTTAACCACAGGAATAAATTGCTTACAGAGGCAGTGAAAGCTTCATCATTAGAGATTTGTAAGAACAGGTTAGATAAACACCTGTCAAGTGTGGTTAAGTTATAGTTGATCCTGCCTTAGGGGAGGAGGATAAACCAAATAGCTTTCTATTCATGTGCCTTCAGGTTCTGTTTTCTATAATCTGAGAACTAATGCTGAAAAAAAAAATGCAAAACGAATCCCTAAAAATTTAGGACATCTCTGAACAGTTGTTATTCTTTCAAATCAGTTCAGCCTTCTCATGCATACTCATTATGGTCCAGATGGTTACAATTTTTTTTTTGCAAAACCCTTACACTGTTAAAGTAAACTTCCTCACTTATACAGTGATCTTCTATCTATGTGGAAGGTTGCCCTTCCCTTTTGCTAGAGTGTGGTTCACATGAAGAATCTGGCTTTTTCAGAGAGGAATGTAACCAGCACATTAGCACTGTAGTGAGCCTACAGTCTCCCAAACACTGAATTTTAGTTGGAAGCTGTTGGCATTCCACAAACAGGAATGTCAGAACAACAACCCCTAAGATGTCTTATCAGTGCCTGGTTAAAGGGTTCTTGAAATACTGTTTCTTGCAGACATTTCGCCCTGCAGCGATGCTGGTTGAGCGGTCCACTGACTTTGGTCACACCTGGAAAGCGTTCAGATACTTTGCACAGGACTGTGCAGCTTCTTTCCCCAACATCTCTCCTGGCCCAGCAAAAAATGTGGGAGATGTCATTTGTGATTCAAGATACTCAGACATTGAGCCCTCCACTGAAGGCGAGGTATTGCCAAGTGTCTGTGTTTGTATAAGTTCAGATCATATGTGCCTGAATTTCTGGAGCTGAATGTCTCTCATCAGTATCCATCAAATCCACTTACACACATTCTGAGACATGAGGTATTATTGACTTTACTGAAGTGTTTATTTTATTAGCACTGTATTTTACCCTCAGTTTCACACCCAAATGGATTCATAAAACAACTTGTACAGAGCCTTCTAGTGCTTTTTCCTGGTTTCCAAATTCACACTGAAGTGCCCCTTGCAAGAGACCTTGAGTCCCCATCTGCCTCTGCCACTAAAGGCTTTGATACATTTGGCGGGTGCTCATTCCATCTCTACATCACTGTAGGGCATTGTTTTTACTTTCTCCTGACACATCAATCCACCAAAAGGTCTCTTTGCCTCACTTAGCCAAGGCTAGGTTGAAGGATGAGAGCACTTGGTGAATCAGGGCCACAGCCTTGTTCTTTTCTTCTAGGTGCTCATCAGTACCTAATGGGTCTCAGGTGACAGACTTTATATCCAAAAAGAGTAGCTTCAGTGACCTATAGAGCTGCACTAATTTGTTTTGCAGGTTGTTTTAAAAGCTCTGGATCCCAGCTTTGAAATAGAAGATCCGTATGTGCCTTACATCCAAGGTAGGGACAGTACAGCTTTTCTCCAGCAATACTTTGCTGGTGTTGCTTTTTTGTACACTGAATGGATCAACAGCTCAGTCGGTGCAAGTTAATGATGTTGAAAAAAGTAGCTAAAGATCTTAGGAGTTATCTGTGTTAATAAGTAGAATGGGCCAGTCTTGTTCTTTAGCCCTGAGATCAAACAGCACAGCTCTGCAGAGCTCATCCATGCAGCTAAACTGTCTTTCTTTCTGGGATCAGGTGGCCCAACCCACACTGCTTTTTGGGAACAGTCCCTGAGGTGTACGTGAACCCACAAAGGCTGGGAAAATAGATTGACTCTGGCCAGAGCCACACCAAGGAGGGTGCTTATGCTTATGCAGCTGTGTTCCAGGACCACGTCCATGCCTTGGCACTGTCCAGGTTACTTTTCTTAGCCAAGATCAGATAATTATCACTGTTTCTTCAATATGAAGGAATTCCTGGATGATTGATCCAAGATGAATATTTAATACTGTTCATTTTCAAATGAATTTGGCGTCTCGATTTTTCTTCTTTCATTCCAGAGCTCATTACATTGACAAACCTAAGGATCAATTTTACTAAACTCCACACCCTTGGGGATGCTCTGCTTGGAAGAAGACACAGCGATCCCCTTGAGAAGTACTACTACGCTGTCTATGAGATGGTTGTGCGGGGCAGCTGCTTTTGCAATGGCCATGCCAGCCAGTGTGATCCTGTACAGAATCTGAGGGGAGATGTCTTCTATCAGCCTGGGATGGTGAGTCACTAACTCTGTCTCCAACAGGGGCAGTCCCTACCTGGTATCTTGGGGAAAGAATGAGGTGGAGGGAGGGAGAGGAGGGAAAATCTCTGATGATCTTTGGATTGACCATTTGCAACTCTAAGTTGTAAAATGTTTCAATGCATCTTCTTCCTTTAAAACCCTGGGCTGAACTGCTCAGGTTTCAGAAGAGAAGAGAAGCTAGCTCTTTGTTGGCAGTAGTTGGTGTTTCAAAAGCAACTGGGACAAGACATGTTGATAACAGCAGAAAAATACCAGAGCTGTAATGGTGCAAATGTAATTCAGCTTGTGGTGTGTGCAGACCTGAATGGCCAGTCCTTGGGTGCATTCCACACTCCAGCTGGGCTCAGGGTGCTTTGCAGCAGGAGAGGAGCCATAGGTGTAAAGAATGGCTGATAATGCAAAGCTAACCCATGAAAAATGGATTATTAAAAAATTGAGGAACATGATTGTGAATTCTTTCCCTCTGAAAACATGAGGGTTTATTTTTCCTCCCGGAAAATATGTATCTCAATTTAGAGAAATGTAGGGGAAGAGAGAGAATTTAAAAGGTTGAAGTTTCCTTTGGCATGTTTAGAAGTTTGTTTGTTTGTTTTTCCAAAATGTTGCTCAATGGCTTTGAAAAAATTTGGTTAAAGTTTGTAGGTATTCTTCAGATCTTTTACTCACGTAACTGAGGATTATGTCAGCTGAGGGAGCCAAAGAGCTTTGAATTTTCCTGATCCTGCTGGTATACCTGAAGCAGATATCTCCTTTCCTCTCCTCTCCTCTTCTCTCCTCTTTGTCCTCTCACCTTACCTCCTCTCTGTTCTCACCACATTGCAGGTCCACGGGAGATGTCTCTGCCACCATAACACTGAAGGCTTGTCTTGTGAAAGATGTAAAGATTTCTACAATGATGCTCCCTGGAGGCCAGCTGAAGGGACACAGGATAATGCTTGCAAACGTAACTCAAACATATTCTTTTCCTTTTTTATAGCTGAGGGTGCAGCACAGTCCCAGCCCAAAACGTAATGGGATGGCTGGGTTACTGGGAGGGAGACTTTTCCATGCCTCATCTAAAAACAGATGGATTCCTGTATCCATTAGTGCTGTGTTATCCTACAAGAAGGAGAACTTCATGATTTTTTGTTTAGATAAGAGGGAAAAAAACAACAAACAATAAAGAGAGGAAAAAGCAACTAATGCAAAACCAGATCATCCATTGGTTTACATAGGGTCTTTCTTGTGAATAAAAGAAAAATTTAGACAAGGCTTAATTATTTATTTCCACAATAATGAGTAATGTTGGATATACAAGAATATTAGGGTCTGTAACAAGTATTCATCTAGATCTTTCTTCAGTGGAGCAGTGTTTTCCCCTCCATATCCAGCACACTCACCTGCATGGGTACTTACAAGTATAGGGCCCAGTTGTGTTGCAAGTCTCCAGTGTTTCCCCTAAGCTGTAAAGCACTATGCCTGGGACGCTATGGTCTTGCTGGGCACTGAGATCATGGAAGTAACAAGTAACCCTGTGTTAAGGATGGGCAGCAGTAGTGGCAAGACCACAGTAATGGGCGTCATGGTGCAAAATACTCCACTGTTTGTTTTGGTTTCAGGGTGTAACTGCAATGGCCACTCTGGCAGATGCCGCTTTGACCTGGCCATATACCAGGCCAGTGGTGGGGTCAGTGGTGGTGTTTGTGAGGACTGCCAGGACAACACTACCGGGCAACACTGTGACCAGTGCAAACCTTTCTTTTACCAGGATCCACTCAAAGTCATCTCAGACCCTCAGGCATGCCTCCGTAAGCTTCCCTTTTTTGCCTTCTGTAAGAGTGACTCAGAATAGGGTGGTTCTGGTTCTCTGTGCTCTGAACCTATGACATCCCCAAGCTTAAATGTTCATATGGTTGTGAAAGTGTTATCCAACCTGTAACATCCAAATTGCCTTATAAAGTAACTGCGTGACAGTGTCCTTGAACCTGCATTGTAAAAAAGGGCTGCATGTTCCAACTCATTGCTAAACTGAGCTTAGAAACCCAGCAGAGCTATCATCTTTCTTGAACAACATCAATATAAATATGAATAGCAGTAGTGCTGTTGCTTCTGTGGTAGTCAGGGATTACAGAAGAGGTGTGAAATGATGGGAGGAGCAATAACTGTTGTTAGATAACCTGCCATATGCAAGAAAAAGAGTCTTTCAGGTGTAAAAGCCCTTCTTCTGGAAGATGAGCTAACTTCAGTATTAACATAGGATGGGAAAAATCCTCTGAGTATAATTTCATTGTAGTAACTAATTGGCATCAAAAGTCCTTAAGGAGCCAAGGGCTGATTACCCAGGGGAATGGTGTGGTCAGCTCTGCTGTGAGAAATGGGTAGTGCCTTAGGGAAAAATGGGATGCATCAGGAAGGCAGTGTTCCATGCTGAATCCATTGCTTCCAGTAAATAATTCAGCCATAAGCCAACTCAGACCAGCTGTGAGGAGGTGTGGTACTGCTGCAACCCTACAGCTTTCATGAGAGCATCTCTAAAAGTATGGGGCCCACTCCTCCCTGAGTATTCTGAAGAGGGTAGGGAGTGGGTGCATGATGACTATTTCTACCCAAAGGGTATATTTCTACCAAAGGGAAGACTGTAACTCTTCTCCAGAGAAAAATCAGATCTTGGAAACATTCTCATAATATTTCTTAACAGCTGCTGTGTGTTAATTGTAAAGCGACCAACAGCAAGCACAGATGAACATCTGTACAAGAACCCTGAATTTGTGTCTACCAGCAGCTCTGTCATTGCTTTTTCTTGCTTATATCTTAATGTGCTTTTTTATGTCTCCTTGGCGATGCCTGCAGCCTGCAACTGTGACCCAGAAGGTACATTGTACAACGGCATGTGTGAGAGCCTCACTGACCCTGCTCTAGGAACGGTTGCAGGCCGGTGCCCTTGCAAGGAGAATGTGGAGGGTGTCCGCTGTGACCAGTGCAGGGCCAACTACTATGGGCTGAGCGGCAGTGACCCTCTGGGCTGCCAGCGTATGTAAACCACCTTTTATTCTTTTTTCCGAAACATTTTTAAGAGATGGAGGTAGTTGGATGCACACAGTAATGCACTACCTGCTTCACAAATACCCAGGTGCCTGCTATAATTTATCGTTGGTGTATTTAATGTTCCTTGTTCAGCATCTAAGACTGAAAAGATACAAAATCACTTGCAGAAAACATAATATACTATAACAGATCAGACTTTTGTCAATAGAAGGATTGTTAAATATGCAATTTAGTTGAAAAGGGAGATTTAAACACATGAAAATTATGTTACCATCAAAATCAGCATAAGGCTGAATGAAAAGCCACAGTTGGGCTGTTAGGATAGTTGGACTGTGCACTGCACAGTGCAGTGTCTAGGTGGCAGGAGCTGCTGCCTTGCCATGAGAGCTTTCAGCCAGCTGTTCCTCTGAGAGAGGTTCACGGACAAACATATCCCACCCCTACCCAGGCGCACTGTGGGTTTGTGAGCATGTTAAGTCCACAGCATGGTACCCAGCACTAAGCAACATGCAAGGACTATGTAGGGTGGATCAGCACACAGCACATGGAAACCACCAGACTGGACTTCTGCCAATGCCCCTGCTCCCCCAGAGAGTGTATCCACTGAGGAAACAGACTGTTACCCAAGAGCAGCCTGAGAGCTGCAAGGTGACAGGGCAGGTCTATCTGCAGAGCATCTGTCTGGAGGATGGAGACTGCTTGTCATGTTGATGCCACATCTAAAGCAAAAGCCAGTCTTGCTGCCGTGACTGGGTCCAGCAGAAGTAACCGTGTATTTCCCTCCCTGTAGCCTGCAACTGTAATCTCTCCGGCAGTTTGCCTTTCTCCATCTGTGATCCTGCCACTGGAGCGTGCCTCTGTCAGCAGTTCACCACAGGACGGCGCTGTGAAAAATGCCTCGTAAGTAGTCGGCGTTTGTTACTACTTCTGTATGCGGGTTTAGAAGTCTCCTCTGCCATCTCCCACTTTTTCATTGCCAGCAAAGTAAAAAGTCAAAATTCAAAAGAATTTTGCATCTCTATGCTCTCATTTTGCAAAAGAACACATCTGGTTCTTTCGAACTCTTGCAAACATTTGTGCAATCAAATTGCACTAGGAGGAGTGCTTCAAGGAAGGAAAGGAAATGCAAAATCATGGCCTCAGGCCATCTTTGCTGTTTACAGAGCAGCTTGCTTGCACAAATGGGTAAATATCTGGCTCTTCTTGAAGTGCCTGAGCACCCAATGCAATCTGGGAAGAGAAGCAATCTCGCATGGCTAAGCACAGGCAGCAGGACAGTAGTGCTCAAGAAAAGAGTTCATCCAGGGGAACAAGTTCTGCTGTGCTTCACATAGTTAAATATTTGCTGTAAAAAAGTCTTTCTTTTTATCCCAGGTGGGATACTGGGGTCTTGGCAGCAGTTTGCATGGATGTTCCCCGTGTGAGTGTGATATTGGTGGATCCCAGAATAATTTGTAAGTTAATGTTCTTGATGTTCTTTCTTGGTTTTGATTTTTACAAACTCTTAGGCTAAATTTTCTGGTTAGTTTAATACAGTCTCAGTACAAATGGGAAAATAGACTGTGGACATAATTTTATCATATATAAACAGTATAAAATCAGGTTAGGATCTTGGAAATTTACTTGTGATAAAGGGGTTTATCGTCTTCCTTTGAAGTCAACTTTGAATCAGCTTAAGCCAGGGTTTGTTTAATATAAAATATAAACTGCGTGACTTGAGAGAACTAGAGGCCCTAATATTAATAGAAATTAGAAGTTAGAGGTGACTTTTTTAACGTATCTTCCTACGTTGACTTTAGAGGCTAGAAATATCTTAATTTTTTTTACATATAGGCTCCTATTCAAAATATATAATTTTAGAATCAAGCTTGGTTTCAGTTGAGCTCCTCCAGAAGTCTGTTGGGCAGGGTCTTTAGGCACAGCAGCACATAATCCAGTGCTGTAGAGCAGCTCCTTGTGACCAGGCAAATCAGAGCTAGTAATCATCTGGCGTGTTAAATAAGAGTGCAAGTATATGAAAACTACCATATCATATCAAATCAAAGGGCCTTCTGATCTTATGTCCTACCTCCAAAATTACAGTTGATAGATGATTATGGATAGTAATAGATACAGAAACAGGTACAAGAAATGGATACAGGGATAGATAGTAACAGATGCTTAGGAAACAAAAGAATCTGTGCTTCAGTTGTGGAATGGACAGAGAAAGACAAAGCATGTCATGTCTCCCAAGCAATAAGAAAAGTAGCACTGAATAAATCCAGCATCAGAAATGGAGGGGCTGAGTGGTAGGAAGAAGTTTAACAGGGCAGGCAATCCAACAGTGGAAGAAACAAAGCAAAGCTGAAGCAAGGGTGGAGCTGAACTGCTGTCATGCTGTTAAGCCCCAGCCATGCTGCACTCTGATGTCCTCCCTTTACCAACTCTCACCCCAGGTGCTCACCAAAGGATGGTCAGTGCAAGTGCCTTCCCAACATCATGAGCCGTCAGTGTAACGAGCCAGCACCGGGCTACTTCTTTTTACCCTTGGATTATTATATTTATGAAGCTGAGCACACAAAGCCCCTTTCTGGCTCAGCACCCTTGGTACGTAGTTGGCTTTTTAGGCATTGTACTGAGAGGGGATGCATGCGATGGTGGCACAGGAGCCGAGGCTGAGGAGAGGAGCCCTTGCTCATGGAGAAGACAAAGCGGCGTTTTAGCAGGAAGGTCCTTTGACCATCCTCAGTTCATCCTTGTTCTTCATCTTCATGTTCTTCATGTCTTCATAGGCATGACTATCCTGTAACTGTGGCTCTTACCAAAGGACAGTTACAGGTAACAGGCGTGACCTACAAAGCTGGCCTTGCTGCTTCTCAAATGCTGGCTGGTCTAGCATAAATTAGAGAAAATAAGTTACCGAAATTACAGGAAAGTGTTTGGGTTGCCAACAGCTATCACAAACTGTGATATTTCTGGGAATCTCCAACAGAGGAAGAATCAAATTCCTCTCTGTTCCACTGGACTCCTTCCTGCTGCCTTATATAATGGCACTGATTGCAGCCCAATTTCCTCGAGAATTTGGCATCCATCTGGAATGTTTTTAGAAAAATTAATTTTTATTTATTTTTTTGGCCCTCAACATGGAGGTAGTTGTTTGCTATGCAGAGTACGAGTCTGGAATGCATCCCTTCTGCTGCCTGTGTTTTTACAAACATTTCCTCTTCGATGTGTTGTCCAGAAGTTATACAGAAGGAATAATAAAAAATATGTTTATTTGCAGGTCACATCCGCAAATATTTAAGCTATAATCACAATCAGTAATCAGCCTACAGTCCAAAAATGAAATGGAAAGCAGATGTCTGGGACAGCTTGTGAAAGGAAGTGCAAGTTAATTTTAAGGGAGTGAGGGAAAAGGGTTTCTAGCAGAATTTCACCCAGCATAGAATAGAGCTTGGTTTAAGAATGTGGATTTTCATGTAGCTGCCTACCTACCCTTCAGAACTGTTGAGACCACACTGCCCCTCTCTCATTACTTCATAGGTTAAACCAAGCACTCTTCCAAGGTGTGACATCTACTTCCAGAAGAAAGGCTATGAGTTCATGATTGAAAATGGTAAGATTGTGTTAAACAGGAACAAGATACGAAGCATAAGAAAATCTGGACTGGACCAGGTAAATTGTTTCTTGAGTAGTTACTTAAGGTTACCCCAAATACTAGAATTTTATTGCAATAGAGGGCAAGGAAATCTCTAAGCACGTGGGATTCACAGTCCTGGATGTTACAGTCCTGACAGTTGTGCCAGCCAATTTATAATTCATACAGACAGGTTTGCTCTGCCATGTCCAGTGCCATTTTAGACTCAGGTTTAATGAACTATTCAGAAGAGCACCAATGAAAGACAATTTTTGTTTGTTTGTTTTGGCTGTAAGACATTTCCCGTGTTTTCCATTTTCTAAGAAGTTTACCAAGACATTGACATGGTATCTACTGCATTTAAATGCTGTCAGATTTGTCACTCTAAGTATTGACATTTATTTCTTTCAGCTTATAATGAAAAGTCCAGCCATGTATGAAATCAAGCTTTATCTGTAAGGTTTGCAATGTGAATGCTTGGAGGTGCCATATATAGAGAGATGGATGGACTATTCTAAGCCCTTTCATTGCTGTTGTTGCAAAGCTATGGGAAGCTTTTCTTTGTTACCCTAAGCATCCTACATTTGGGAGTGTTCTTAGACTGTTGATCTCAAGCTTGTTTGGAAAATGAGGCTGTCTGATGTACAAAATAAGTAAATAACATGGCCAAAATAGTTCCTTTCTTTTTTTCTGAGTTTGTTTTTTTGTCATTTGACTCTGTGTGTTGTTGGAAATGCCTGTATGTCTTTGCAGGGTGTGATGCAGTTTGGACAGGACTCGGCTGTGGTGGTGGTTTTCAGGCAGCCTAGCACTGGTCGGTCTGTTACATGGACAGGACCTGGCTTTGCCCGCGTTCCCAGCGGAGCTGGGCTGAGATTTGCCATCAACAACATTCCCTTTGCTATGGATTTTGATATCGCAATCCGCTACGAGCCTGAGGTACTTGTGATGTCTTGTGTGTCCTATGATGTTGTGCTAGATACATGGTTTATTTTGTCAGTAATAGGATGCAGCAACTTGTCCCACTCTTTATATTTAAAATTAATACTGTTTGTCTTTTTGTCCTTATCAACCGAGTAACATTGCCTCCATTGAGCCTCTTCAACCGTCTCCAGTCAAATCTGAAAAATCAGCACTACAAGTGGTTTCTAAGCATCAGTAAAGATCTCAGCTTCTGGAGTTCCTCTTTTAGTACCTTTGCTTGGACCAGACTTTTGTTTACAAATCAGACGCATGCAAAATGCATCTTTCCTGTAGATGGGCACCTGTATTTCTAGCTGGGATTTTCTGGGCAGGAAAATGTGCACAGTCAGGAGTGATTCAAGCAGATATTACTCCAGAGCTTTTGCAGACATCCAGCTTCACAATTGCTCCAGATGGGTTCTGAGGTGTGTGAAAATTGTAGAAAAATAACCAAAATGTTATTTTTTTGCCTGGAAAAAGTTTCTCAGTGATAAAAACATGTCTAGGGAAACCTGTTAACCCAAATCTGGTTAAACCCAAGGCCACACTCATGTCTTTAAAAACACAGGAAGTGTTTTATTAGTTCCAGTGTTTGTACATACCTTGCTTTCAGCTCCATGGGACATTCCTACTACTCAAGATCCTCCTTCTGTGTATTGTATTCTGTTCTCTCACTGTCATTCCAAGTCAAACAAAACTCCCAGTGTCTTGAAACATGAGCAATTTTGCAGTGGGCTGGCTGCTGCTGCTGAGTTTTTTTCCTTCTAAGAATTAAATGTTTGAATTTTAAAGACTTATTACAATGTCTTTTATGTTTGTTGTTCCTTATTAGATGTGAAAGGAGGCAAATAATGAAGGATATCTCTGGGACAACAGTGTACTGAGAAAGGAAACAACTCCAATGACTTTAACAGAGCTGCTTCCATTTGGACCAGCTGAGGTCCCATTTCCGTCTTTGCTCTTCAATAGCTATTGCAAATACAATGCATTTTCCACAAATAACTTTTTTTTTTTAGTCCTGTAAAGAACAAAGAGAATCTGTTTTGTCACTGCAGTGTGCAATCATTCAGATGGCTTTCATTAACCCTTGCAAAGAGAAAGTTCTTCAGATGTGAAAAATGACCATAATGTTTGTCCTTTGTTTATAGTCCTTGGAAGACTGGCTAGCAAGTGTTGCAATCCAGCCCACTGGTACTTTGTCAAGTCAACGCTGCAAAAACAAGGGCCTTTCACAGGAGCCTCATGCATTGCCTCTCCCAGCCACAAAGAGGTCTGACTATTCCTTCCTTTTGCCTGTGGATTTTCTATATACAAATCATTTACTGAAGCACAGTATTTATTACATTGAATAATAAATGTGTGGGAAACTGGGAATATTAGAAACACATGTGTGGCCTTTCCTGTTGCTGTCACACAGCAATACCACGTAGGCTCTGAGGAAGAGTGATGCTCCAGTCCTCAGCCTGGCAAAGTTTTGTACAAGCCAGGAAGGTGGCCTGACATCCTACTGGGGTTAGTGGTTGCTTTGGCAAAGATCCAACTGCAGCTATTTCAGTATAGAAAGGAAATATTGACTTAAAGTCACTGTCCTGGCCTGTTTTCAAAACCAGCTTTTCATCTTGGACCTATGTAAAGAATAGAGAGGAGCCAAGAGGATGTGACCAAAGTCTTGATCAAACAGGGACAGGAAAGGACAAATATGAACAGTGAGTTGCAAACTCCTTTGCTTGAAGTAGTAAACCCTGCCATTCTCAATTTAATCTCAGCAGGTTTGAATTGCTCTTGGTGAATCATCCAGGCAGAAGTCATGAAAGCTTTCCTAAAGCCTGCAAGCAGTGGGGCTGAGTGTGCTCCCCACAGCAGCAGGGATTGCTTGGGGGTGCAGGCCTTAAGATGCAGGCACAGAGGGAAGGGAGAGCTCACAGCACCCTGTAAACTTGCTTTGTCCCAACTCCTGGCTATAACTGTGCTTTATTTCTGCTAAACAGGGTTGCACTTCTGCAAACTCCAGTCTGCCTGGAGCCAGGAACAGAATATTTTGTGGATGTGTATTTTTCTCAGTCCTCTGCCTCTGACCCAAAGGCCAAATCCTTCATCTTGATTGACTCAGTGAGTAGTTCTGTCACAATTCACTTGAGGCTGTATTTATACCAGTGTGATTTTTTTTTTTTTACAGTTAGTCAAGATATCTTAAAAACACTTATAGCTGCCCCATCCCTGGCAGTGTTCAAGACCAGGTTGGAAACGGTTTTGAGCAACCTGGTCTAGTGCAAGGTGTCTCTGCCTGTGGCAGGGGGTTGGAACTGGATGATCTTAAGGTCCCTTGCAACCCAAACCATTCTACGGTTCTATAATTCTATAGTGTGTTTTAATAGAAATCAGGGAAGTCTGCTTCTGCTTACCTCCCTTGGCACTCTGTTTGCATGGTTTTGTATGGCAAGACAGAATTGCATCTGTTTTGCTTTACATGGAACAATACCAAAATAGCTCATCAAGTCATTTTTGTTGCATGTGTTAATGATCAGAGTATGTATCTCTATCTGTTGCTCATTTATTATGAGCACACTCAACATATGCTGACAAGATGCTGTGGCTAGGGATATAAATTCAGGCAGTTCTTCATCACTTAGCTTTTAAAAACATCTCAGTAATTTATCTGAATCTAGTTAAATCATGGATATATTTAAGGATTACATTGGAAAATTAAAATTAGTTCTGTACTTTCCTGGGAATCAGGTCCAGCCAGTTCCCAAGTTTCCACCAAGTCAGGAACTGGGTGTTAGTTTGGAGTCCTTCTTGAAAAAAATATTTTTAAGTCTACTCCTCTAATTATTTCTGTAGAAGTGGACCTGACAAGGCCTGGCCACACTTGGACACAGAACCTTCAGCTGAGTTTTCTCTATCTTGGTAATATGAGTGAAAATTTGGGCCAGATACTCCTTTTGGAGTCATCAACATGGCACCTCTTGGAAGCAAAACCAGTTCTGAGCATATATCTGAGGTCTTATTATAATCTGACTTTTTTATATGCAGTCTCTTTTATTTGAAGAACTCAGGGAATGTCTAGACCTTCAGAATACGTGTGAATTCAGATGACTGAGGAGCACAGCGGCAGATTTGGAAACATGATGCTCCAGGCCTGTGTCCTTGCAATGCAGAGCACAGTAAGAGAATGTGGGAAATTCAATATATCTAAGCAAAAATATTTTCTTTTCCCCCTTAACGCCAAAGCTTGGACTTATTCCCAGAATCAGCTCCATGGAGAATTTATGCAGTGAAAAGGATTTAGATGAGTACCAGAAGTATCACTGCATTGAAATTGCATCAGAAGTTGGACCTCATGTCCTGCCCGAAGCATGTGCACGGCTCATAGTGAGCATGTCAGCCCGCATCCACAACGGCGCTGTGGGTAAGGAGCAACCTGCACAGGCAGCTCTTTTGGACAGTTACTGGTTTTCCATTAGTTTGTAGGATATGTTGACTGGAAAGCTCCCAGCCCCTGGTGTTGTAGGTAAGTGTATGGATCTACAAGACACATCCCACTGAACCCTGAGTGTGTTGCAAGCACTTTTTGTTGTCATGGCTTTCAGAGTCCATCACACCTGGTGAGCTTCATGGATCAGCATGACAAGGAGCATAGCAGTGCTTGCACGTTTTCTGAAGAGCATTTCAATCGGATGCAGCTTCACCAGGTGGCCAAAGCAGTAACTTTCCTACTTTTCCAGCTGCTATAAAATGACAAAGGAGTCATTGAAAAGCCCTATCCCTGAATGCTGCAGGCCAGCTGAATGCCCTGGAAGAACCCCAGGCATGATGGCACACAAGCTGACTGACATGCTGGAAGAGATTCACCAAGAAAACCTTGGTTTTCTCCCAGCAAGAGAGTAGTGGCAGGTGGGGTTTGAAGCCCCAGGCATTCTTCTGGACCCATTGCAGAAAAAGCAGATGGGATCGGTGGCTCAGGAGACTTCTCTGGTGTTGGACCCAGAGAAATGGAGCTCCTCTGCACCTCCAGTAAGAGGAGGAGCCTTTCTGAGCAACTTCAGTGGCCAGCTCCTTTAAGGGAGCCTTACCTCCAATGGACCCAATAGCATCTGCTTGATTTGGGCTATTTTTAGAAGGACCAATGCCTCAGTCACACATCATGTGATGTAGTCATGGCTGTGCAGCCACAGATGCCCCTCATGTAAGTTTGAGTTGTGCTGATGCTGACTCCTCATCAGCCTGACTCCCATAGGGATGGGATTCTCCCAGTGAAACATGGCAATTTGGCTTTCTAGCGCTATCATCTGAGCATCCCAGGCAAACACCCTCTGTGAGTTAGCATACCAGCTACACTCAACAAGTTAGTCCAAGGTGTCCAGAAAGCAACAAACTGCACATATGCAGACTGTTTAAGCTCTGCTTGCAGGTTATGTCCAGTGCTGCACCCAGACATTGATGTATGTCAAACCCTTCTAGACTTCAGGATATCCTCATTTTGGATCTACATTTGGTATGCCCTCTTCTGTTCTATCCCAAATATGTGCTGAAGGCAGTGCCCTGAGTGTAGCAGCTCCAACACCAATATACCATCACCATCAATGATACAGCATCAAATAATCCAATGCATGGCCATCAGTGGTTGCTGAACCCCTAATGAGAACAATCAAGCTCTTTCCTTACTACTTTTCAGTGTAAAACCTGCAAGTTTATGACTGCAGTCATTCTCCTTTACGAGCAAACCTGTTTTGATTTTCTTTCCACTTGGCAGCCTGTAAGTGCAATCCCCAAGGGTCACTGAATGCCAGCTGCAGTAAACTGGGGGGCCAGTGTCAGTGCAAAGCCAATGTTGTGGGACGCTGCTGTGACATCTGCTCTGCAGGCAGCTATGGCTTCGGCTTCCACGGCTGCTACGGTGAGTACTTGACAGCCATCACCGGAACCAGAACCAGGACCTGGCTCCTCATGCATACCCCAAGTTTTTAGGGCTTTGAATCCATGATTATGTGTGAATCAATATAAAACATATTTCCACAAATACTGAATTTTCAATCCCCACTGCTTGCACTGCCATTGAGCAGTGCCTGCAATGAGCAGAGCTGGTGGGAATACATTCAGGACATAGCTTTGCTGTTGGTGTTTTCCAGCATGTGAGTGCCACCCACAAGGCTCGCTGAGCGCGCTGTGTGATCAGGTGACAGGGCAGTGCTCCTGCCGCCGGGAGGTGGATGGCCAGCGCTGCAGCCGATGCCTGGCTGGGTACTTCGGGTTTCCCCACTGTCGTCCTTGTGTGTGTAACGGCTTTGCAGAGCTTTGTGATCCAGTGACTGGTGTGTGCCTGAACTGCCGGGGGTTTACAGCTGGAAGCCACTGTGAAAGGTAAGTTGATGGGCAGGGCTGCAGAGCTCACTCAAACACTAGTGCTCTCTGAAACATGTGTACCTGGGGCCCATCTGCCCCCCCATGAATTCATTGATGACCTTAACTGGAAATACATATCTAAACCTAGGATTAAACTAGGCCTAGCTGCTGAATGGCAGGTACCTATTGGTTTGGCAAATGCATATGGGAATGTGTGTGCATGTAATGCCTATGGGGGGACTGCAGGCACAGCATGCATGCAGCATTGCAACAAGCTCCCTGCAAGAAGGCATTTGAGACATGGGTGCCGTGGCACCATGTCACTGCGTGTGGCATACACTGACCTCTGCCAGCTTTTAAATTGTCAAAGGGCTAACCTCATGCTGAATACTCATTTTAACACCTGCAGTTATCTCTGAGGAGCTTAAATAAACATACCGTTTTGCTGATTCATATTAGTTCCATATGACCAGCAAATGACTTTTCCCATGTGTTCCAGTTCCATTCAAAACTGTGTTCCCTTTTTCATTCTATACACTGGCAGCAGTATCAGAGTTCAACACAGACATCAGAGTTAAATTCATTAGCTATTTAGTTTAGTTTGGCTGGATTGTACCTTGTCACTTACTTTTAAGATGATTTCCCCAGGAAACCTATTGGGCTTTTCTTGCAGTGCTTTGGACAATACAGCCTTTGGCTGTTGTGCTTGTAGGTGGCAAATAGACTGAAAGTGGGAGACTGAAATACTTGTTGCCCTCTGCCTCTGCAGTAGCTTCAGACCCCAGGAGGAGGATAGTCGAATAGCCAAGACTTTTAGCCTGGCTCGTATACATACAGAGAATTGTCTTCCCATTTACCATAGTAAAGCAGATCAAAGACTGAGCATGCTTCAGAAGCTGCTGTGTTGCCACAGCTGTGGGATCCATGGGGATCCATGACTTAGAGGCAGCGGTAGCAGGCAGGGTAGCAGGGGTGGCTGAGACCCCAGGGAGCCCTCAGAATCGCCGTTGCCTGTCTGAGTGACAGCACAGCCACCACCACCTCGAAACAGCCATCACTCTGGCTTTGCAGAACATGCCAGGCAGAGCATGGCTAGCTTCAGTACACACGCTGTATCTAAAATATGCATATTCTCTGACTGGTCTGAATGAATCATTGTTTTTTTTGCCCATGCCAAGACTTTCTAATGCCATGCCAGCCACTCTTTGTGTGTGTGTGTGTGGAAATAAATGAATATATATGGTGACGAGGGAATATACAGAATCTTTTATATGGCAGCTTTTAGCTGTGCAAAGCATGTGTGATATTTCATATATATATATATATATATAATCATTTAGATTAAAATGGTTCCAGAGCAGGTAAAAGTTTTCAGAAATATTCCTTGAAAAGAAAATGTGGTGTGTTTTTTTTTTTTCTCCAGATTTTGGGAATGTAGCTCTGATTTTCCATTTTAGAACACCTTTGAAGCTCGCTATACCTGTACCAATTAATGAGATAGCATTACAATGACCTGGAATGTTAAATTAACTATACATACATATAAATAAATTCACTTCCAGAGACTGAATGGAGCACTTGGCAATCTCTGCTGCTTTGTGTTGACTGCTTTGACAGGTGCATGGATGGCTATTATGGAAACCCTCTGAACAGAGAGCCCTGCCACCCATGCATGTGCCCAGAGGAACCTACAAGCAATAGGTATTTTGCACATTCCTGTTACCAGGATTCCCAGTCTGCACAACTAGTCTGCAATTGTCTCGAGGGATATTCAGGTACAAAGCAAAATAAGGTCTGGGTTTGATTCTATTAAAAGACCTGCAAGCCCAAATCAGAAAGAACAGGGCATCAAAAAGATCTGGAAAGATTTTCTAATCAGAGAAAGTCTTTGTTCATATAGAGACATTTTGCCCAAAAGCCCAAAAGCGACTGCTTCACTGTTTAAATAGTCACTATAGAAAGATCTCCAGTGATAGAAGCAAACCCTAATAGCAAACACTGCCAAAAACTGAACCAATGCTGTCATCTTTACTTAGGCCAAGTTCCTTTATAAGTCAAGAGCAGTTTTGCTTGAGTAATTGCTGTAGGGCCAAAGTGATCCTTGTTGGTTCTCACCCAGGGGATTTCTGTCCTTACAAACCACCACAATCCTCAGTTCTGCATTTTCTTCCTCCTGCTCCTTCCCAGCAATGCTCTTGGTCATCACTTCTGTGGCACTGTGTTCACTTCCTCAAAGATCATGGTCTGGCCCCGTGTAGCATGGTGAAGGAGCAAAGTCCTTGGTTGAGGATGAACCAGTGGATGAGGTCTTAGCAACACCAGCCTGCCCAGAAAGGTTTCTGAGATGCAGAGAAGTAGCGCCCCAATCAGGGCAGGCACTGGGGTGGTGTGCAGGAGTAACTTCAATGCCTGCAAGCAAGGTGAGAGCATCCCAGAACTCATATGACCTCCTGGGGATCCTCCACTGTGTTACAGAAAGGAGTGCAGGTGTGCCAGATGCTGGGTTGCTCCAGGAAAGGGCACCTTCCACCTTCCCATGATGCATGTCAGGGTGAAGGCCCCAGGGAAAATCCTACAATATGGCCAACCCCGACTGCTGCCATTGAAAGGACTTCGCTGGAAAAAAATGTTTAGAGGTGTTGTGTGAGGGGGTACCTATTTACTACTACTGAAAGAACTTCCTTGATAAAAACGATTTGGGATGAAGAGAGTGTTTCCATCAGATTTTATTGTAAGAGATGTAATTTAATGGATCACAGGATTAAGGGGCAACAGTCTCAAGCAGGTGGATATTTTCTACTGGAAATGTGTGTTTGAACAGTCAGGTTGAATCTTTTAACAGTACTACTGGAAATTACATGTTTCACTTGAGTTCCCATCAGCCAGAAAATATTTTTACCTTCCTCTCTGACAGGCAGTCGGTGTGACGAGTGTCCTAGTGGGTTCTACAAAAACCCAGGCAGCCCTGGTCTTGACTGTGCACCGTGTCCCTGCAATAATAACATTGATTTGACAGACCCAGAGTCCTGTAACAGGATCACTGGGGAATGCGCCAAGTGTTTACACAACACCCATGGAACAAACTGCCAGTTCTGCAAACCAGGATATTTTGGCTCAGCCCTTGATCAAAACTGTCAAAGTAAGTAACCAACAGCACTGCAACTGTGTATTGCTACCCCCCAAAAAAAGTAAAGAAATTAGGCTACAGGAAGGGGTTAGCCCTTAGAGGGACAGTAAAACTAAAGCAAATCAATGGGGCAAAACACGAGAAAAGCAAATATGTTTCTATATATACAAAATATATAAATCAGTGATACAGATAACTGTTAATATGGCATCTTTGTTATCCAGGTCTCATTAAATCTCACACTGAATATCACTTCTAGGAAACACTTACTTGTGAAATGAAATCGTTACTCTCCGTTAGAAAGATAAACGTGCATTCAGCCCATTGAGGAAGGAATCAAAACTAAAGGAATCAAAGATGATTGTTTATCCATGTTGCTGGCTAATGCCAGCTAAGCAATGCTCAGTTAACCAGGTGATCTCTTGCTGAGCTCCCTGCCTTACCAGTTGTTTCCATTAAGTGGCTACTAGAGTGAGACTGTTAAAGCAATTTAATAGGCTCCATGACACTGTCAGTAACTCCTCATTTTTAACAGAAAGGCAGAAGTGGATGAAAATGCAAGGCATAAATTTCTTCCCAATGTTTCTCAAGGACTATGTTCACAAAGGTACCTGACTGAGGCTCTAATTTCTTCAGGCCAGACAGTGACATATTTTCAAGAAACTCTTGCTGAGAGTCTCTAAAACACAGTTAAGCCCATTCCTTGTTCATTCTTGGAAGATGTCCATTAGAAATGGTTGAGCAAGAACTGGCTCCTCACAAGGAAGGCTTCTTATCTTGCTTATCTTACTGGCATTTCCCACGCTGGATAGTGCCTACTGTAAATCAGCTTCTTCTTACCCAGCATATTTAACATTTCATTCTAATAAGATTCAAAATTCACTATGCCTTAATTTTTTGTGCCTGTTTCAAAAGTTCTGAACGCTCCCAGTAAGTTTGCTTGAAGCAATGTAGAAACTATTATAGAAAGATAGGTAAACTGCATGAGATTAAAATCATGTTCAAGATTACTAAAAGTAAACTTACAGCATGGACTTTATGTACAGCTCTGATTGTCCATCAACTGTCTATATTGTTTTTCTTTTTGCAGGGTGCACTTGCAATCTGTCAGGTGTTCACCCTTCCATGTGCCCAGGTGGTGATGCAGCCTGTCTGTGTGACCCAGCCACAGGAGCTTGCCCTTGCCTGCCCAACATAGTGGGCATGACATGCAACCAGTGTGCCTCTGGCTATTGGGACCTGGCTAGTGGAAAAGGATGTCAGATCTGTGACTGTGATCCAAAAAACTCCCAAAGCAACCAGTGCAACCAGGTGAGAAAATTACTCTGCTTTCTGGGAACCTGGGTGGTGGTGTTTTGGCGTGGCACAGTGGGGGGCGTGCTTCTTATAAATGAGAATAGTTTTATGTCATGCTCCCTCAAAACAAGCAGTCTTTAGAAATTTGCAGCTGGTGCAACCACCCTTAGAGTCATTAGATCAAATGTGCTCTTCTAGTAACATGGCTCTGCTTGTAAGCAATTTCTTTTTGCCTGTGTGTTTCTTTGTCAAGTGAATCTTAGAAATACTTAGTAGGAAAACTTCATAGGAAAAAACTGCCTTGTAAATATGTGTATAGGGAAGAGGGAAGTCCAGGCTTGGACCCAAGAGTCTTATGAGTATTTTTTAAAGTGTTTATTTTAATAAAGTAGCAGCTGTGGCCATTAAATTAATTGTGCCTCATCTATCAGACTGCTAGAATATTTTTCTCATCTTTAATTCCTGTGCAATTTTTAGGGCTAGAACATGGCATATATGAAACAGTTCTAGAATAGAGAGGTAAAATTGCAGTTCCATGGAGTCAACAGCAATTTTTCTATTGATTTCAGAGCACTTATCCCAAGCTCTTGCTGATGTACTTTCACATTTTCTTTTCAATATGCTTTCTGTTTGTTCCAGTTTAGTTAGTAGATTTATTATTTTTCCTAGCAAATGTAGCCCTTAATCTCAAAGAACTACTACTGCTTTTCCGAGCTATACCGATTACCAGAGCTGTAATTCCCTGCAGTTGAATTTAATAGCTGAATTCCAAAATAAATTTTCTAGGGCAATGTGCATAATGTACCCTTGCGGTTTTCAGTTATATCATAATATATCATGTAGTTAAAAGTTGAAATGTTAAGATGAGTACTTTGCCCCAGCAAGAATAAGAAATTAATTTGTTTTGCTAAGGAAAAGAATCTTCTCTCTTAAGTTGTAGTCAGAGGATGAGTTCTCAAAGAGCATCTGTAGACTGGAACACACAAAATCTTTCATCTTAGTAAAGTAAAGCCACTTCTCAAAGTCCATTCTGTTTTCACATCTTGAGGAGCAATATGGGAAAGATGGGCCGATACTTTATAAACCATGGTGTTCAAAGACCATGTGCAAGCAGTGTCACTGCAGTCCCCATACATCTATATGGCATAAATCACAGGGAGAAAAAGAAACCCAGTAAATAATGTGTATCCAGCCATATGACTCAGCAGGAAGCTATTTAATCCTAACTGTCTTTACAGCTTACAGGCCAGTGTCCATGTAAGCTAGGTTACAGTGGAAGATGTTGTGATGAATGTGAGGAAAACTACTTTGGCAATCCCCAGGCACGCTGCGTTTGTAAGTATTACTGAGTGGGGACAACCGAATTAGCAACTGCCTCAAAAGAAATGTTTGTCATTTATATTCATAGGGAAGACAGAACATACATGTAAAAAAGGAGGCTTTTGTACATTTATGTGTATGAAATGGGTAAAAGTGTTTATATTATTTACCTGTATTGTTCCTTCTATGGTTACGATGGGACCATGGAAGTTAGAAATGAAGAGCTATTAACCAGGGAGTCCACTTTGCTCTAACACTGGTTTGCTTTTATGTCTTGAAATGCACAGTTGTACCTTTTGCATGTGTTAACCCCACAGAAAAGGAACGACTGGATGTAACATGCTGTCCCTTTCTTGCAGCATGCGAGTGTAACCTGGAGGGAACCAGCCATCCCAAGTGTGACAAAGCCACTGGCGTGTGTAACTGCCGTGCTGGTGTCACAGGCCGATTCTGCAACCAGTGTGGCCGTGGCTTTGAGAAAGATTTCCCCTCTTGCCGCCAGTGTCATCTTTGTTTTGATCAGTGGGACACTGAAATTACTGCCCTCGCTCAGACTGTTCAGGGTTTAATGAAGTTTGCTGCAAACCTCGAAGATAAAGGGGGACAAATGCCCACCTGTGACACGCGCTTCAGAGCCTTTGAAGATGCCATTTCTGAAACTGAAAGAATTTTAAAACATCCTGTTCTTTCACTGGAGGCCATCTCAGGCATCAAGGATTTCCAGGGCTATGTTCAGTAAGAGCTTGACTGCTCCCAAAAAAATTCCCTTGGCTGACAAAGCAGTCTTCCTCCAGGCTCCACCAGCCATCCCAGCCATCCCTACACATCAAGTCTCATTTCACTTCTTATCAGCACACAGATGCTGGACTTTTAATTCACTATTTTCAATAGATCTATGAACAAAATAATCCTTATACATATTATCTGTCCTCCACAGGCAGATACTTAAATGCTGGAATTTTCAAGTTCCTCCTAAGGGTTTTCTAAATAAGCCATTACAAGTAAATGCTTCTGCTCATTTAGAAATTTATTTCTTGTCCTCTAAAATATTGTGCATCTCGGTTCTAGTTTAAGAACAATCTGGCCTGACTTCCGCATAACTGCCATTTCTCTTTCAGCCAGAAAGTTGCAGAAATGTATCCCCTTCATGGTACACAGTATGAGTTTCCTGATCTTAATAAGAGCATAGAAGACATTGGGGAAGAAGCTGACCTAGTGTATGAACTTCTACAACAGAAAATACATCTGCATCGAAGTTTTCATTACTTGAGCCTGAAAGGTAAGGCAGCCAGCAATTAATTGATATAGGGGGGACATTTTCCATGAAATTTCGGAATGTTTTCTCACCATCAAACCATACAACATTCCAAAGATCCCTAGATTTTAGCTTCTTATGGTAGTGCAAAAATGGAAATACTAACATTTTCTACTGGCTTTCCAAACTCCCTTTTATCTTAAAATACCATGATAGATGGCATCTAGCATTCAAATATATATGCTAGGGTCACATTGGTCAGATGTCTTATGAATCCCAGTGTTTATGTCAGGATTTAAAAGCAACTGAGTTTCACAGTATAGACTCATAGATCACACACTAGGAACAGCAAAGGATTTTTTCCCCGCTTCTGACTCCTCTTGCTCTTAGCAATACTTAAAGAATGTTGTACAGCAATAGTTTGTTTAATTAAAGTAGAGAGTCATAGCACAAATTCTTAGTGTTCCCATGGGAAAATACATGGCTTTACATGGTAAGGAACTAGCTCTCCATCATCAAAAAATGTGAAGTCAGAACTGAGTTCCTTGGCATTTTTAAAAGAATTACACCGTCTGTGCTTGAGCCAAGTACAGTCTCCATCAGCTGCTAATAGCAGTAATGACAATGTCACAAACTGGTTTCTGAGGAAAGATGGGGATCTCAAACAGGTGCCAGATCATCCACAATGGCAGGAGACTGTCAGTAGCATACTCTCTAGAGAAATGGTTGCTGAGATATGAACCCCCAGAAGATTAGGTGTGCACTGCACAAGACAGAAGCTACAGGCTTGTGTCTCCCATTTACAGTTCTTCTGTGTTTCATTCAGACAAGAAAAAAATTGGCCTGGACAAGATTGAAAAGAAGGAAAAGTCAACAGAATACAAGGGAAAGGAAGAGGGGAAAAGAGGGATTAATTAAAATTTAGGGCTCCCCTGCCCTGTTGTACTTAGCAGCGCCCTCAGGGCCAGCTCTTTGGACAGTCAGCACAGCTCTCCCAGGCTCCACTTCCCAATTCAACTGACTCTTGTGCAGATTCTGAGAAAGACAGGAAGGCAAAGAAACAATAAATCCCAGGGAGGTCAGTGGATGCACAGCTGAAGCATCTGTGGTGCTCTCTGGTCGTGTTGCAAACCCGCTTCATCTTTTGCCCTCAGGAGATGGATAAACAGCCCTATAAAAAGCACTTGGGAGTGTGGGGAGGGGAAGACCTTGGATTTAAGCTGAATTTCTGGTGAGGCCCATAAATATTCATTGGTCCTGCTACTAAGCATTTAACAGCGCAGAAATAACATTTCCCTCAAGAAAACCAGCTTCTCTGATATCCAGGAGAAAGCCTGGCTCCCTCACCCTATCTTCATTTCAGGACCAGCAGCACATCCTAAGCAGGGCTCTTTCCTCTCTATTTTCTGCTGGGGTAGAGCAGGATATGGCCACATACACCACCTGGGGCACATCTGGCACTTGCGCTCTAGACACATGTAGGGAACGGGCTCCTACCTACTTCTCTTTGCAGAGAATCAGGACTCAGAGTCTTCCTTTTAGGCATACATTCAGCTGACTGACCTGGAAATGTCAATAGCTAATGATGAATTAAAATCACTGGAAAAAACAAGACACAAGTGATCTTAAAAGAATGCTTGCAGTTTATGAAAGCTCATGAAATTACGGCTTCCCAGCTTTGGTCCCTGACTTTGAAGCTACGGTGGTATGGTAATGCACTGAGTACAACTTCCTAGGTTGTAAATCAAGCCTGTGCTACGAGGTGGTGTTTAATGTAAAAGAACTTGAGAACTCTACAGCTCCGTAACAATCCAAGCGTGAAAAATGCATTTGGGACACTTAATGGAGAGCTGAACTACTGTAAAATATTCCTGTGATGGAATTGTTGCACAGAAGAGAGTCTCTGGCTTAGATATGGAGTCACAGCAGCCTCTTGCCAGGTATTTTGGATTAGAAGCTAACTTTAAAGTGTACCTTGTTTCCAAGAGTCACAAGATGAAATAAATAGCCCTAGTTCCATATAACTAAACATTGTTCAGCTTCAACTAAACAAGGCCAAGGACTTTAGAGTCTGATTCAGAGCATGCAGGACTTGACGAGTGCCTTGTTATTGACTTCAACTAGTAACTGATTCAGTTACCGACACAAAGGACGTTAATCAGTGACTTCTAACGCTTTTTCACTGCCCACACATCAGTTCTGGCTCACTGCACGTACTTCTGCCCAGGGATCTGGGGACAACTTTGTGTTCTCTGGAGATCTGTGAAGCCTCAACAGCAGTAACTTTAAATTATGTGTTTTGCAAAAGGTCTGAGTGCTTTCCTTAGGCCATTAATCTGCAAAAATATAATATTCTCCAACCCTTCTGAGTCTGTTTAAGGGAAAGCTTACACTAAGCAAACAAGACTCTTGCTGGAAAGAATTTTTTGTCTGGCCTACAAGTTTATCATGGAAATGTTGATTTTTTTAATGCATCAACCTTGAAATTGGATTTTCTGGAGCCAAAGAAAACTCATAAATTCCTATTTCTATTATAAATTTTGGCCTCAGTTTATAGACCATTTAATTTTTGGGTGCCATGCTGAACAGGCCGGACAAATGCTTTTCTGACTCATAATCAGAGACCTGATCATTTCATAGGTTTTTCAAGTGGCAGAAACAGTTCACATGCCTAAACTTCAAAACAGCATAAATGACAGGAACTTTATCAAATCAACAACAAGCACCAATGGATGAATGCAGATTATGTTATTAATGCAGTAGCAGTTTATGTTATTAATGGGATTCCCTTTATACTTTTTTATCTTTGTATCTTTCATTCTCACACACTGTGGACCCTGAAGAATTACACGGGATCCACTGTATTTTCATCTATTTTGGCAGGTTTTGTGAGTATCAATAACTATTCCTGTTTAGCAACTGGCTAAGCACTAAAAAGCTTGACTGAGGAAATGACAGCTTGTGTCCCTCCTTGCTGTCCCAAACCAAACACCAGGGGCAACAAACTTAACCATCAGTCACTCAAGCAAGTACATTCATTAAATGCAACCTATTTCTATTGCTACAGAGGCCATCAGCAACATTAAGAAACACTTTGAAGTATCATTGCTGGCAGAACAGAAGACCAGTGAGACAGCCCCTATTGTAAGATACTCAGAATATACCAGGAACTGTGTGCTTACTATGTTGGGCCATCAGGCCTTGAAAGCAAGCAATGTGCTGGAACAATTGAAGATGATCAAGAGCCCTGATGTCCAAAACTTAAATGAAAAGGTAGGTGTTGTAAATTTTGATTGGAGACCAAACAAAACTCTCTTTTTTGATGCTGTTGGTAGGTTTTATTTTAAAAGGGTGCTTACATGCCTTTTTAAATCTGGAAAACGACACTTCCCTGGCACAACATGCAGTCAGGTCAGAAACAGCTGCACTTCTCAGCTGTAGTTACTACCAACTTTCTGGAAGCCATTGCTCCCAAGGCAGACCCAGCTCAAGGAACTCTTTAAGAACTCTCTAGTCTCAAGAGGACATCAATGTAAATTCAGAAAGATTAACCCCAGCCTCCTTCATCAGTAACTTAAACTAAGCAGGGCAACTTTGCCTTGGAGCGGATGCCCTGGAGTGCTCACATATCCTTTGCATCACCATGGAACAGGAAGGGATTTGTATTCTGCGGGGCAGCAATGAGTACCTGATAGCACCTTCAGCCAGGCCTGACAGGCCTGGAAGAGATCATCCATCTAGGTCTTTAGTCTTAAGATCTGTGTTAAACTATATAAAGGGCTAGACATAGTACTATGTTGTGTGAGAGGTGGTGTGCTTTGGAACAGGCCATTGACACATAGGCTGGATGTGGCCAAAGGAAGAGTTTCAATGCTTTTGCCATAGAGGAGCAAAGCAAGGGTCTCAGTGCAACACATGGAGCCCAACAAATGGCTCCAGCAAGCTATGGGCTGCCATTGTATTCTTCAAGTCAGGTGAGCGGAACCTCTAACTGTCAGTGGCACCATCTTTGCAGAGACCAGACCACTGCCTCTTTGGAAAAATCCCTTCCTATGTTCAGTGTTCATATAATGTCAAACATTTTCTTTCCTCCAGGAGCATACGTCAGGCCCTCAGAGGAGACCTGACATAAGCATCTTCCTTTCTTATTTCAGGTCTGCGGTGTGCCAGGAGACAAGTCCTGTGTCACAGCAGCCTGTGGGGGAGCTTTGTGTCGGGACAGTCATGGACTCAGGCAGTGCGGTGGCCCAAACTGCAGCGGGGCTCTTCCTCTCTCCACTGAAGCCTTCAGGAAAGCTGAGGAGACTGCTGTGCTGCTAAATAACTTGACTACTCAGCTACAGGAACCTGAGAATCAGGTGCTGTATATCAAACCTACATTTGTTCAGTGAAATAGATGGAGGATGAGATTTGGGAGGTCACAAATCTACAAAAACTCACCCTGTCCCAGCATCACAGACCTATCACAGTTCAGTGCCAGTAGTATTAAGCACCAGTCCCACCAAGAGACTATAGCTTTGGCTATGCCTTCCTCTTCCGCAGAGCGTCCAAGATCTTACGGTTCATGGTGCACTGTGTCTATGGAATTCGGTGGTATCAGGCTAGTATTGTCTATATTTTTATAGGGAAAGCTTCAACTGGCACAATTTATCAGTAGCCTCAGTATGGCCCATGCTTATTGCAAGGGGATTACAGCTGTGCATAGGGTTAAGCTCTATTTATACAGCTTCATATTACTCTTATGTTTGCCATTAAATAATTTTTGCAGATAATTTCAAGACAAAGCTTTTCTGCCCCTGGTGATATTTAGAAGGGGATCAAGTAGTCAGCTCTACTGCACGGCAGTAGTGAAAAATAACTCAAGCAAAGTGTGGCTGATGCAACATGGGCCAAGGAAACAAAATAGACAAATCCCAAAACACCAGTAAAGACAGTTTGTTCTTATTAACAATCACAGCCAATGCCTGTCGAAGTTACAAGCACACACATTTCCCAACAGAAATGTCATTCTGCTGTAGCTTTGTCCTGTCCCTGAAGGGTGCCTGGACATCCATTTCCTCTTCTTAAAATGTACCCATTCTGCATCACAACTAACTGGTTTGGAAATGATCAGTCAGGGCACATGCCTGGGACCCCAGGACACAAAAGGGCAGCAGCAAAAGGCATCTACTGAGGTGGTGAGCACCAGGCTGCCAGGACATTTTCCTTGGTGCTCCCCAGCCTCAGGCAGCTCTGTGATAATATCAGTGAAATATTTTGAGATGTTTCGGAACTAAAAACGTCACCATTTTTCATGTTGCATGGGGAAACAGCGAACCTCTTCCCTCCACAGACTGCAGAGAGGCAGTGCCTGTGCATTTCCTTAAGGCAAAGCATAGTCCCCAGCAAAGCAAAATAATGATGGAATTCAATGGTTAATCTAAAGCTGTCATTTAAGTTATCAACAATACTAATTTAATGGTAAAATGTAACTTTTAAAGACAAGCCTTAAACTCTACCTTCCTTATTTGTGTCCTCTTAAGTTGTATTTTTAACAGCAAGTTCAATGTGAAAAGGCAAATGGAATTGCATGCCTTTTCTGTGCTGAATCCAATCACTAATATACTGCAGTACTACAACAAAAGATAACAGCACCTTCTTTTAGAAACAGAAGGAGCTGTGATTTAGCAGAAAATAATGAAGAGAAAATAATGTTTGATTTAGGCTTTTCCTGAGACCAGATGAAGGCCATTTTGTAGCAACTTCTGGAGTCCTCCAAAGGAGACTCCTACTATTTTTCAAAGTCACATCAAGTGATTCCAGCTAAGGCCTAGATCAAAATAACCTTTGTGCCAGAGCTCAACATGCCAAGCAATGATAGATAACCTGCAGAAAATGGCTCTGCTATTTCTAATAACATTTCCAGGTTGAAAGCATTAGAAAAATGGCAGAATACAGCAAGTTGAAAGGCTCACAATTTAATGCACAACTGGAGAAGACTAAGAATCAAATTGAAGTGGATGGAGAGATCGCTAAGGAGTTCATCCGAAAAGTGAAAGACTTCTTGTTAGGTAAATATACAGAGTTCTTTCTGACTCATTTTTAATATATATTCCCATATAATATAGCATAGTAGATGGCCAGAAAATTATCTAACTGCATATACAGAAAATTTGTCTACCTCCTGATCTGTGCTTTCTTCTTCAATCCCCTTTTTTCTAGTGCCTTTTTCTACCAGGTGACAGTACACTGTTATCATTTCCCAACAGATCTGTTACATTCTGATTGTCATCTTTTATTAATGCACTTCATTTGAAACATCAAGTAATTCCCTCAGCTCTTGGTTTGTCTGAATAAAGGACTACTTAAATAATTTCATACAATATATCAAGACCAGGCACGTCCAATGCATCCTCAAATTGTTATTCCACCCCCTTCTTCCAGGCCCATAAATAGAGGCTCTCCATAGGGAGCGTGGGAATTAGGACACATACCACTCCATCGTCTCCATAAAGGTGTAGCTCAAGGAATCAAAGGATTCTGGTAGAACTTCACAGCTTTCATAAAGAATAACCGAATAACCATACATGCACTAAAACTTTTTCCACCCTCATGACTGCAGAAAACTGCTGTAAGAAACAGACCCTTAGATTTTTTTTTTACCAGATGCACATCAAAAGAGTTCAAATGTGGTGGGATTCTTTTAATCTCTTAAAAGAATCATCTCATAAATTTCTAAAGATTCCATGTTGGCAATCCTTTGGCATTCATATCTCTATCTCCATACGGGAGCAAAGGCAGAGGACACAGGACTTTGTTTAGGAATATTTAAGTTATTTTATTGAATTGGAAGAAAAACTCCATTTAAATCCTTAAGATCTCAGATTTTTATTTGACAGCAATTGAAAATTCTACCTTTGGCTCTTCTTTGTTTCTCAGCAGACATACAGCATTTAGGAACAATTACAAAGCATTTTTTAAAATGAATTATTGTTTCGTAAATTGAAGTTTAAGAACAGTAGCAGCTGAGACAAGTGCAGTGACATTAAATCTGCTGAGCTCTACATTGACATGAATGGTAACTTTAATATATTTCTACAGAAAATAGCTCTCAGGAATGCACTACTGATTGCACAGTAAATGCCTTTAATTCTTGGTGAGTTACTTTGGAACATTAGCACAAACATTTAATATGTTTCAATTGTTTAATCACTGAAGAAGGTCTTGTCTATAAAGTGAAATGAGCAAAAACCAGATGCAGTGATGAGATGTCACAAGGCATTGACTACTCTAACTGCATGTGCCTGTGCCTCTTCGTAAAGAACTAGGAAAAGCTCTTTATAAGGGGAGTTGTCAAAATACATTCTTTCTACTGTAAATTCCCATCCTATCCACGTCCGACCCAAGTTCCCTCTGTAGCTTAGCCCTTCTCATTAACCACGGAAGGAACCACTTTCTCAATATTGTGGTGACTCCAAGGAAGGGATTACACCCACTGGCCGGCTTGGAAAGCTCCATTCACACCCCAGTCTCTCCAGCTCCTCTTTGATCTGAGGGCCAAGGGAAAATGGGCTCTGACACATCTAGCTGTGTTGTGCACTGATTTAAAACCTTCTACAGGCTCAGTTCTACATAAAAAAAAATTAATAACACAGTTCAAAGTGGGTTCAAATCCTCATTTTAGCCAGTTCTGACAACACTAACAGCAGTACCTGGAAGCATAATATTAAATTACAAAATGTTGGAGATAATTCTCTTCCCCCCTTGCTGTGCCTGTCAGCTTTATTCTCCCACATAACTAAAAGGGTAGGCAGCCATAATGATCATTTACATTCCACTGGGAGGAAAGAGCTGTTTCAGGATACCCTCAGCTTCATTTCTATTGCAGATGAGAGTGTGCCTCCAGAAGATATCGAGAAGGTGGCAAATTACGTTCTGCAAATAAACCTTCCCCTGACTCCACAAGAGCTCACGGGCATGCTTGGCATTATGGACCACTGTGAGAAGTACAAGCTGGATGCACTTAAGAGAAACAGAAAATGGGAGGAAGCTCAGATGCTGCTGAGGGAGGCACAAGAAGCTGAGTGAGTAGGGTATTCTCATACTGATGCGCCAAGTCCAGCAGGGTGGCACTGTGCCTGTAGGGGTGCTCCATACGCTAGGCAGCATCCCAGTAACACTGGAGTGAATGTTCAGATGACAGCAGATTTCAGCTTGCCATTTGCAGCAGGAACAAGCCACTGACCACTGGGCTGAAGCAGCCAACATGCTGCAAGGAGGCAGCTCCCGCCAGCTCCTGGCTCCTCTGCCTGCTGAGTCAAAGAGCCCATAGCAGCTACATACTTTCACATTGGACCTAGTGAAGCATTACATCTGGTTCACTGGGAGGTTTAAATATGGGTGAGAAAGAACTAAAAAGAATTGAGGAGGGAGAAAACATGTTTACCTGTGAGTCTTCTTTACTAGCAAAGCAGTGCACCACCAGGCAGCCTGCAGCATCCAGCCTCACCTTCAATACAGCAGCTCACATGCTATCACACAAAGTCCCCTACCAAGGTTTTGCTTTCTCAACTTAAGAACCACAATTTTAATGGTTGTTGTTGGACTTGAGGGAACATTTCTGCATGCAAGCATGGGTGCATTTGAAACATGTTTTTGCTTTGCTCTCCACGCCACAATACTACACATGCTTCTATCCTTCCATTTCAGCAAAGCAGCTAATGCTCTTCTGCCTGTGGATGAAATTAATAATAAACTTAAAAATGTTGTGAAATCCCAAAGACACTCCAAAAATACCATCATAAAGTTAAATGAAGAGATACAAGGCATCAGAACACAGATCTCACAGGTATCTTCTGTAAAACTTTTATTTACTACATACATTATAGAAAAAGATACTTAATCTCAAATTTTCCTTAATGTAAACTTAAATAAAACCAGAATGTGGCGCAAATCTGACACAGTTTCCATAATGCTTAAAGGTTTCTTCTTCTTAATCAGTTGACATTAATCTCCCTCATTACTACACTCTCCAATCTGGCTGGATGTTGCATAAGAAACCACAATTACTCTGTTTTAGGCTGAGAACCAAGTGAATAAGACAAATGACAAACTAAATGACTTGTCAGCAAAACAGTCTGAAATGGAAGATGAAATTGCAACACTGCAGGCAAAAATGCTGATGAACAAGAATCAAGCTACAAAGGCAAGAGCAGGGGCAGAAGCAGCACACAAGCGAGCCCAGAACATTGATAATGTAAGCCCTTCTGTCATGCGTTAAGGGAAAAAAAGGTTCCTTTCATGTTTAATAGTACTTTTGCTTCAGAAGTGCCATTGTGTTACCCCCCTCTCCTCAAAACTGTTACGTTTTTCTTATGCCATGCAGTGTAAAATGTAACAGGTAAGAGTAATTTATTTTTTTATCTTAAGGCTTCTAGCATATAACACTTCTGTTTGCTTGAATGAAAACATACATATTTCTCTGGCTACTCTGTGACATTCTTCCTTGCACAGTGTATAAGACTTAGTCACCATGGGCACCAGTAAACACAACAGAACAAATCACAAAACCAGATATTAAAATATGCTAGTGATGTAAGCAGCCTGGCCATTCATCCCATGCCATTCTCCTTCAGAGGAAATTGCTCTGGGAGTTACTTGGAATTTTTGGTAGGCTGGGTGCTCTCAATTTTTGAGGATGTGCTAAAATTGCAAGAAGAACCAGGTACCCACAGTGCAAGCCTGGAGCATGACCAAGCTTCCAGGTTAAAAAAAACTTAGTCAAAATCTAAACTGCAGTCTCAACAGCACCTAAATCAGCAGGGAATGGATTATCCAGTAAATATTCCTACAGACAGTGTTCCTACAGATAACTTGCCTCCTGGCAAAATTAAATTTACAGAAAAGCCCTATTAAAAGAAGTAAAAATAGCATAACCTTTAAAAAGTTTAAACCATATTTTCTTACATCCTCCCCTCCCTTTTAGATTGCTCCACTGACTATTTTTTTTAATTGATTTCTATGAGGCTTTGTAAAGCATTGTTCCATGTACACTCATCATGGATGTTTTATTTAAGAGAATGAGGGATTTAAAGTTTGGTTCAAAGATGATATACAAAGAAAGTATGTACCCTCCAGTACTCCAGATTAATTGTGAGATGCTTTTAAACCAAGTAACATCATTTTGCTACAGGAGTTTGCTGACATTAAAAGAAAGTACAGCATTCTTCAAGAAAAGCTGAAAGCCCAAGGACCTCCAAAAGCAACACTAGAAAAAGTGAAGCAGCTGAAAGAAGAAGCAGAGAAACTGGCTGAGGAGACTGAGAAGAAAATTAAAAGAATAACAGGTGGTGTTATTGCTTCAATAGCGAGAGGTGAAAATTGTGACAGCCATGAATTCAGCTGAAGCCCTTGCCCACAGACACTGACAGACCAGGATCACCTGAAACAGGGTTTAATACCGTTTAACTAGTGAGAATCCCTGCTTGAAGCTACTCAATCAGTTTAAAAGTAGTTGAATTGAGTTGGCTTATGTACTTTTCTAACATAAATTCGTAGCTATACGCTCAGGGACTTGCAGTGATTTGATTCAGTCAGTTTAAAAACAGGACAAGTGCAAAGTCTGCTAAAACTTTGCTCCAGATTTAGCTGGAAGCCTTGATTTATGTGCTTGCTTTGGGCATTTGGACCTTAAATCTTTACTATGCATTCTATTTTTTTCTTACCCAAGTGATGTCTTGTGTTGTGGAGCTGCAGGATAGCTGTTTTCCACCAGTCCCTACTTCAGTCAGTTCTCTGAGCAACAGCAGAACTAACCAGATACAAATACTGGCTTTTGGAGACTGAAGCTGACATGCCCTGGGGCTGCAGGGCTGTGGCTGAGAGGGGTCACGGGCAGTGGAGACTCTGGCTGCTGTGGCCAGACTGGCACCAGTTCTCACACAATCTCTTGTGTGGGTTTAGAGGGTCACCAAAAACGAAGAGCACATCTCATTTAATTGCACACAGGGACCCTAATTCTGCTTGCAGTGAAGGTCTGGGCATCCCCACTAGGAATCATTTGGCTTAGGATCTTGCCAGGCTCAATGTCCAAAAATACTATGTAACAACAGCAAAACTGAAGCATTTGCTCCATCCCAGGAGCAAATTCTTCAGGATAGGATCTGAATAAATATTTTGAGAATATACCTTGATGAAAAGCATTAAGAGTATCCCAGTTACTCCGAAGGCCCCGATGACAAGTGGGTTGGAAACAGGCAGTGAAAAATCTGGTTTTGACTCACTACCAGTATGTTTACATTGGTGTAGCTTCACAGGGACCAGCAGAAAACATTCCTGTAAATGAGGAAGACCTAGCCTCATTATGCCCAAATTATCCAGGCTTTACACACATCAGTGGGCACACTGTTCTTCTAAGTGTTTCCACTTAAACCAACTCCTTTAAGAGCTCCATGTCCTGCCCTATCCCAGCTGACAGACAAAAGCACATGCTGAGAAATTAATTTATTTAAGGCTGTCACATTTTTCTTGCTATGCAGAAGCCAGATTTTTCCTTCTAGTTGCATATATAACATTCCCCATTTGAAATGGGCATATTACCTCTTAAACTCCTGGGAAAAGAAATGCTGTTAATCTATGCGTTTTACTTACACAACATACATAAGGATCATTGCATGTCTCTTCCAGATTTGGAGAAGAAGCTTCAGGATCTGAATCAAACCAAACAAGACAAGGCAGAGCAATTGAGACAACTAGAGGAACAAGTGATAGCCATTAAAAATGAAATCACGGAGCAGGAAAGCAAGTATGCAACATGCAAAAGTTAGGGTCTGAACAGACCATCAGGTAAAATATAACTGAAGTCTCTGTGCTTACCACCTCCTGAGCTTCCTGGCACAGAGGGCTGTCCTCCCTAAATAAATCTGAAGGTTCCTACTGTATTTTGGCAGTGAATAATGTAATTTTCTTTTGGGTATTTTTTGTCCAGCTGAGTTTATATGAAAATAGGAAATACCTTTTAATAAACCATCTGATTAAGTAATCAGGATGTAATCTTTAAGGGAGCTTTGTAATGCATCCCCATACACAGCCTAGAGCTTCTTGCTGTAGGGGGTTGGAAATGCAAAATGAGTATTTTGCAGAGAGTAACTGCCTCAAAGACAGACTCCCAAAACCTTGTGTGTTCTGCTGAACCCTCACAATAACCTGTGGCTGTGCCACAGCCCTGCATGGGTCTGCACAGACCAGGATGTGGTGATGCAGATGAAGGGCTGCAGGCTTCGGTAGCCATCTCTGCTGACAACTGTCAGTGTCCTCAGGGTACTGTCACTCCTCCCCATCCCCATCTCTTCTCTGAGACGGAGCAGGGGGAGCACTAGGAATCACTGACCATGTGGGGGTCCCCCTATGCTCGCTGAAAATGCACACATAGCTCCATGCATACTAAACCATCAGAGATGGACAACAGGGAGACAATACCCGCGTGCCCACTGGATGGCAGCGCACTGATGTTTAATGCTGAAACCTTCAAAATCATTGCCAATGCCCCTCCTGCAATACCTATTTTTATTATGCTTCTAAGGGGTTTCCCACATTTTAGTTAATGCAACTAACAGTTATAAAATGACTCTACCTCTTTGGTTTAAGCAGTGAGTCTAAAGGCCCCATGGATGTTGAAAAGCAGTTTCTCCAGCTCTTCTCCCACATGCAGCATCTCACAGAATTCAGAGTTAACTCAGTAGTTTCTTATAGCCATTAAGAACATAGAAATTGTCCTAAATTTTCAATTCCTTTTTTTATACATATAAAGAAGGAGAATGGGGCTAAGCAATTGCTACAGAAGTGCTAGAGTTTTAAAAAGGCTGGCTGAAGGGAGTTATGCCTTGATTCTAAAATCCCACCATTGGTATACATATTTCTGCAGGATGCTGAACAGACTGACAATGTCTCTTCCTCAGTTAAAACCAGTTGTGTCATTCCTGGCTGGATTGTCCCACAGCAAGCATCACAGGAGCAGCCCAGCACTGCTTCAGAGCTCGGGTGCAGCCCAGAGCACATCCGTAAAACAAGGAATGCTCTGCAGGAATACAAGGCTCTTATAATTTACCCATCCTCCTGTCAGCAGCACCCATAAAGCAATCCTGATTGATCTGAGGGAGATAAATCATCCACAGTTATCACTCTGTGTTTAGAAGAGCTAAAGTAGCATTTGTATGCAGTGGAGACTTGCATGGGAATTGCTGGCATGGATAAGATTTCAGAGATACTCCTTTAACTCAAACCAGCTGTGCTCCAGGGCAGTGTGCAACACACATTACTCATCTAATAGCTTCTACTGTGAAAATGATGGAATCAAATTATAACTTCGATATAATCCAACAAAGACACCTGAATGCAGTATGCACATAATTTCCATTTTATTTTTTATCTGATTTTTAGCACTTTAAAAACTCACCTGTGAGGTGTGAGGCTTCTTTATAAGTCCCTAGGCTGTAATCAGATGAATGTATTTAGATTGACTTTGCCATAATGAAATTGAGCATTTCTGTTTTACTCAGAGCACACAACTCACCAAGCTGCTCACAAATGGGTCTGCAGGTAATGAAGGTTTCAATGCACTGCACCTGAAACAGGCAACCTGAAGTGTTTAGAAAAATTCCCAACAGCATTCACAGCTTTAACAATCCGAATTCACAAGCAGAAAGTTGAAAGAGAATGTCCTCCTAAAATCACTGTTGGCTGTGAGAGTTGCCATATGGCTTTCGACAAGCTGCAAGGATGCAAAGTCTGTAAACAGTTAAACAGGCCTGGAGGGGAGATGTATCCATGTGGGAAAACAGAGATCACTGGATAAAAACAGAAACAGGAAGAAGAAAGTCAGCATGGAGTCTAAGCTCCCCTGCCTTCTTCCAAGCATGCTCAGACACACAAAGGGAGCAGACCAGAAGCTACAGAACACCAAATCCATCCTGTGACAGCTTCTGACACTTACAGCTGTGTAGCATTCCCCACTGAAAGTGACACAAAAGCTTTTAAAGTGGTTTTGCAAAGCTAATTTGTGGGAAAATGCTGCATCTGGATTGAAAATACCTATTTTTAGTTACCCCCACTCTTCTTCTTATGGGCAGAATGGTTTCAGAAAACTTTCTTGACAAAAAATACTGAATTCAGTATCTTGCTGTAGAGCATTTTGAATTCAATGACATTAATCAATATAAAAACAACAATCAAATTTACATATCATCCAAGATAAATTTAATCAAAAGTTACTTCATTAGCTCTCTTTGTTAGGCATTCAACCTCTGCACTGTTACAAAAAAATGGGTGATGAAGTGGGTCTCACTGAGGTTAAATTCTGAAATTTGGCTCTTTGAGAAGACTCCAAATGCAGCACAAAGACACCCAGGACTGTAAAGCTGCTTCACCAACCACAAGGATAGGACACGACACAAAACTGAATTTTTATCATTTGAAAAATCAAATTAGAATCATGGACTGGTTTGGGTTGGAAGGGACCTTAAAGCTCATCCAGTTCCAACCCCCTGCCATGGACAGGGACACCTTCCACTAGCCCAGGTTGCTCAAAGCCCCATCCAACCTGGCCTTGAACACTGCCAGGGATGGGGCAGCCACAGCTTCTCTGGGCAACCTGTGCCAGGGCCTCACCACCCTCACAGGGAAGAATTTCTTCCTAATGTCTAAATCTCCCCTCCGTCAGCTTAAAGCCATCCCACTGATCACTATTGCTCATGAGCACTGCAGAGAGGGATGGACACAAACAAGTTCACTGGATCTAATGACCCACACAGCGAATACTGGTAGTTTCAGCTGCCTCTGAAACATGACCTCGGTTATGGGTGACAGTGGCCATTCCGGTCCATGGCTGCAACTCCAAGTCAATCCCTGATGCCACACAGCAGGGTCACCCCTAGGCTGGAATGCAGTGTGTTCCATTTGCAGCAAGGCACAAAAGGAGCCTAGTCACAGGGCAAGGAGCTCCGGAGGGCAACATTAGCCCACTTCAGGTTTAGGGAAGAATGGGACTTCTATACAGCTATGAAGCACAAAAAAGATGAGAAAACTGATAAAAATTGAAAAAAATATGGGACAGAAAAAAATCCAATGGCAATGGAACACTGTCCTTGCACAGTCACACATGGAGCGATGCCACTGCCTGTCTGCCATGGCCTGGAGGAGTTCCTAACCGCTGCAAACAGTTTCTGTCAGTGGGACGAAAAAGTTTGTTGTGCTGAAGCTTAAAAACAAAGCTGTGCTGTGATTTACATGACAGGATTGTGAAGCTGAATTAGTTTTGTGAATTTAGAAAACCACATTGCAGAAGAGGTTTAGAATTACAATACCTGCCATGTCAACTTAAAATGGTTTAATGGTTTAATTTCCTGGATATCTTTAATGAAACAGCCCCACTAGTTCTTCAATTAAGAGTCCTGAGTTATGTTTCAGAACTGGTGTTTAACCTTTAGGGCAAGTCACTTGGTATCTCTCTGTTTCTGCTTATCCATCTGTAAAATGAGAACTAACATATTTACCTACCTCGGCAGGGTTTGCTGGACGGACAGACGGCAGTGTGTTTCCACTGCACTGCAAATAGCGAGGGCAAAGTGTTCTTTAGGGACACTGGTACCTGGTAAAGATTTACACGAGTTTAAGTGTTGCACGTGCACAGGCAAAACTCCAGTGTATAAACCCAGGGATGCGTCGCAGCCTGCATCCAGCTACAGCCATGATCTTCCAACACATCCATCCTTCTTACCCACTCCTTGATGTTTATTTACCAGTAAACCTTTCCCCTGGTGCCAAAGAGACTCTGCCACCAACCGATGAAGCCATCATGTCTCTGGCACAGCCCAGGGAACTGAAGTGGGTTCAGCTCCAGCAGAGCCATTAACCCCTTGCAGCCACCCCAGCACCCCTGGGAAGGCAGTAGCACTGCATGCTCCCTGACAATGAGAAACAGCTTGGAAGAGCCTAACCCTGGCTCAACGGCCCTGCCAGGGACAGACCCAGCCACGTATGGGCCAGGAATGGCAATAGGAGCCACCTCTGTTGGCACCACATCACCAGGAGATTCAGGGCCACTGAACACCACAAACAACAGTTGCCAACCCTCTGGCCCTTTGCTCGGTTCTGGGCCTTGCCACATGGGTATGCTTGCTCCATCCATCCATCCATCCATCCACCCACCCATCCCTCTTTCCCTCTCTCCCTCCCGGATGCCCAGCCCCACCAGCAGTAGTCAGGATTGGGTCAAACCCCCCATTTCCGCAGTTTCCCCACAGACAGAGAGGGGTCACCCCGCCGGTGATATTCCTCCACCCCGCTGATTGCTGTACCCTGCCCAGAGCCCGCTCCCAAACCCGGGAAGCAGCGAGGAGGGCACGATCTGTAACAGTGGTGGCGCGCAGGAGTTCCCCTGCTCGCCCCTCGGAGCTCCCCAGTGCAGCAGGGCGGGCGACCCTCTCCCCCAGCCTGCCCCAGCGGCTGGGCTACCTTTCCTCGACGGCAGCAGTTTACCCGCTCCCTCCGGCGGGCCCGGCGCTGCGGCGGGGCGGGGGGCCGGGGCGGGCGGGGCCGCGGGGGGCGGAGGAGGAGGAGGGCCGGGGGGCGCCGGCGGTGCGAAGCCGCTCCCCGGGAACCTTGGGGAGCTGCAGCGCCTGCGTGCAGGAGCAGCAGCGTTCGGCGGTAGCGTGGAAGCCCGGTCCCGCCGCGTCCCGTCCCGTCGGTGCCTGCCGCCTTGCCATGGGCCGCCTCCTCCTGTACCTCTGCTGCTGCCTCGGTAACTCCCGCTCCGCTCCCGCCGCCGTCGGGGCACGGCGGGCTGGGCGAGCCACTGCAGCGCCCGCCGGGGCGGCTCGGGCTCCCTGCCTGACCGCGCTCCCGCTTCTCTTTCTCACCCCTCTCTTCTCTCCGCGGGCGCGCAGCGCTGTGGTCCGCGGCCGCGCAGGAGCCCGAGTACAGCTACGGCTGCGCCGAGGGCAGCTGCTACCCCGCCACCGGCGACCTGCTCATCGGCCGCGCCGCCCGCCTGTCCGCCTCCTCCACCTGCGGCCTCCGCCAGCCCGAGCCCTACTGCATCGTCAGCCACCTCCAGGTGAGCCCGGGGGGAACCGCGCTCCGGGGCACTGCGCTCGGCTGCGGGGCTGGAGCGGGGCGAGCACCGTGCACGTGAGGAGCCCTGCGCCTCGCCAAAGCAGCCCGGGTCCAGAGACCCCCTCGCGGCTTTCGACTTCTGCCTCCCGTCCCTTATCGAGGTTAAAGAGGAGGAATGTGCCGCGGGAAGTTCAATTAGTTTATTTCCAGAGTTGCTCGGAGCCGTCTAGACGGCTTCCTGATTGAGAGTGGTCTGTAGGACCCGGGTAATGTTTTGGCCGCTATTACTGTAATGTAATTACATTTCTAAGGTTTCCAAGCGAAGGGATGAAAATAAGCTTGCCTTGCACATCTGGTGGAAAACACTGAACTCGTTACTCTTTGAGCCAGCAGCAGCTCACCAGACTTAAAAAATTTCAGAGACAGAAGGGATTCTGGAAAGAATAAAGTATCAGTTATAAGTGGAACTCTGTTGGGCTGAAAGCAAGGGATAATCTCCGGCCGAATTTACTGTGGAGACAATAGGGCCGGATTCTGGCACTTGGAAGGAAAACCACGGGAAGCAGGAGGAGTGCTGCCTGAGGGGCTGTAGCACTTGGCTCATTTGTACCCTGAAGTTACCAAATTCCCCACCCCGCCTTCCCCTTCAGGTTTACTGTTCTGCTCTGTCTAGCAGAGTTAGTGCTTGGTTTGACCTAAGTTTCTCTGGGACATTTTCGGGCTATGTCAGGATTAACTTTAACAACATGAGCACCTCTGGTAGAGCAAAATAACAAAGGTGCTTTGTTCTGTTTTCTGAATTGCCGAAGTGCTGTAGTAAAAAGCATCACTTCAGACCTTCCCTCCTGACCTCACAGCCCCAGTTCAGCATTTGGGATGTCCCTGGTTACTTATGCATAGTAAGGTGGTATTGAAATCGCAGGAAGGTGCCAGGTATCCTCTTAATAACACGGAGCTTGGGCAGGATGAGTGCTTTGCAGGGTTGGGCTTTCTAGGATTGCGTTTTAGTGGGAGAAGCAGCAAGTCGTGGCATGAGGCAGGGGCTGTGGTGCTGGTAGAGAGGGGCCTGGAGGGGGGAGAAGGGGACATCTTTCCCAGGACCCTGCTCTTGTC